AAGCAGAAAACCCATTCTCCGAGCAATTTGTAGCAATTAATGGCCATTCCCAGGAATGAAATGTTAATTAATTCATTCCCTGAGCCATGCATTTATTTAAGGTATTTGTGGGTGTTCTTGATACTTTTATTAAGCAATTAAAATGCGTCCAAGAAAATATTTATCTATTTTTAAGTCATTCTTGGTAAACACAATTTATATGACAAGCGACTGCTTTATTTTACATTGTTAATTAAAAATAACGATACACTCCACTTCCCAGGGTTGCACACCATCAGAGCAGCCGATCTGCCGGGAGGTTCAAGGAGCACGCGTGCTGCTGGTAACTGCAAAAAACCTCCTTAGCCAGGATCCACGCAGCCTGCAATGGGAATTTAAGCAGTGCTTGGTGGGATGTTAGAGATTTCAGAGAGCCCCAGCACCCCTGTGCTGTGGGGTGGGTACCAGTGATGCCCTCCAGTTGTTCCTGAGATGCTGGAGAGGGCCGTGGCCTGATGAGGAGCTTTGTAAAGAAGAGTGTGTGCGAGTCCTACAGCCTTCCCAGGGCTCTGGAGTCAATAGCTTGTTCACACACGCTGTTTGTGGAAGAATTACAAATCCTGGTATCACAGACAGAGGAATTTCTTTGTTACAGGGAGCTTGGGCAGCACTCAGGCAGATGAAGTGCTTGCTAGCGATGCTCTTCTGCGTACCGACGCTCTCTAGGGCATGTCACGCTCCCGTTGCAAACACGGCCAGCTCTTCGTGGGCTCCACGAGCCTGGAACGGTGTCTTTGGGGGGAAGTGATGGAGCTGCTGGGTTTTTACCCCCTGTGCAGAAGACTCGGCTGAGCATCTTCCACTGAGGCCCTGGGAGCAAGCACGGGCTCTTCATCCCGGCTTTCGACAGGTTTCCTTTGGAAACCAGAGCAGGTCACTGAAGAAACACTGACATATGAAAACTGAAACAAAGCCATGGCATTGCTTGTGAGCTAACATATCCCAAACTGTCCTTTCTTATTTGCTTGTGTGCACTCTTAGCAGGGAAGCAATCGATGGAGTCAGAAGAATGCTATTTCCCTGGAGAACGTCTCCTTAGAAATGCTCCCCTCTCCCTCCTATCTTTAAGTGTTAAAAGGACCCAGTACCGGAGGGAGTGTGTGGGGGGGTGTTATTATTCTTTAATCACTGTTTTTTCATTGCTGTCTGTAATAACCCTTTTGAAGCTTGGATCGAAATATCTGTTTCCTGGTTGAAATTTGTTTTCCTCCATCACCCAGGCCAATTCAATTTCCAGAAGATACTGAATTGGGAGGCACTGGGCACTCCCTGCGGAGAGGCCAGAGAAAAATAAATGCAGGTTAGAAATACGGGGAAGGAAATAACAAAATGAAACTCAGCCCAGAGAGGAAGAAATGACCATCTGGGGCAACAGGCTGAGATGGTGCTTGGTAAAGAGAAAGGAAGACAAGAAAATGTGGAAAACCCGAGGGTACGAGGGACAGCAGCAGATAGGACACCAGGTCTGCGTTGGCCATACGACATGGATAGTGGGGAGAAATGGTGAACAACTCTGTGTTCCCCCTGCCCAGACCTGTCCCTGCAGCCCCTGCAGTATGATTTGGCTTAGGAAGAAAACCAGCAGCAAAAAAAAATGACAGGTGAGTTAGCAGCTAAGTCATACGAGGAGAGACTAAAGGAGGTAAATTTATATAGTCTGGAAAAGACCCCGGGCGACACGTTTGCAATCTATAAACAGCTTCAAGGTAACAATATAAATGAAAGAAGCCCCTGCTCTGAAGGGTGGTAGGACAAGGAGTGCTGGCTGGGATCCAGGCTCGATGTAATAAGGCTGGTGAGACATTGGGAAGAAATCACGGAGAGCCAAAGCGGTGGAGGTGGTGGATGAGGCTGTTGGAGCACCCTCTGCATCTTCTCAGCTCTGTTTTATTCAGATTCTGTTTATAAATAAATACTGAAAGGTTAAGAGGTGAGTAAGGCGTGTTATGGTCCTGTTAAAGACATGAGTAACTTGCCTTCTGGCTGTCCGTGAGCACATCATGGGAAGCTTTACAAGAAGGTTATCAGCTGTTGTTATTAAAAACCAATTTGACATTATAAAAGATCTATACTGCTTGTTCAGCCACATTGATTTAGCAGTGTTAAGCCTTGGAAAACTGGAGCAAGAACCTTGATCTCTGCTGAAGCACGAAAAATTGCTGTTTGTGACACATCTCCGCGCTCGGGAAATCCAGTTTTGCAGAAGCGATCGGTTTTGAACAAATACAGAAAGCACCGTGCCACGGTTGTTGGTGCGGGTTTTCCCAAGCCACCGCAAAGTCAAACAACTCTTGGAAACCTTGCCCTCCGTTTTCCTTTCTTTTGCAACATCCAGGAGGTTCTGACCTGAAGTCTGCCCAGCTCGAACCCAGCTCCGGACACTTCATCTGGTTTTGAAGCACCAGCACCCTCCGTGTCTGAGCTGGGAGGAGGAGCTGCAGGCAGGCTGCAAGGACATGGCCCACAGAGCTCATAAGTCACTTTTATCCTCATCTTGAAACCTCCTTCTTGTCCTCTGCAGAGCAGGGAAGGTGGTTTCGTGCAAAATAACCACGAAAGTGCCAGGCACAAGAGAAGCTCTGGATTCCCCCGCGGGTTCGGTGCCGCGCTCACCCCGTCTCATTGACTGCTCCAGGGAAATGGCTCCGTGTACCTGGTGCCTCCCTTGAGCACCTCAGTAGCAGAACAAGACCTGTCAGGGGCTGGAAATCTGCTCATGGCTGGGAGCCTCTATGGGGACAAAGTTGTAAAAGGAGCAGAAATACTCCTGACAAGAAGCACAGGGCATTTCCACATTCACCAGTTGAAGATTCCCTGTGCTTCTAGCTTTTTACCGTCCTTCCTTCCTTGTTTGTGTTCTTTCAGCAAAAGGTACTGAGGTGTGGCTTCAGGCCCTTTTGACCAGCAAACCAAAGAGGAGGCAATGAGGACGCGTCCCTTTCTCCACCCCACAGCCTGTGCAGAGTTTCAGGGAGGAGACATCAGGGCTCGGGCAGATCCCCCCCCCCAGCTCTCTCCTGCCACAACCAGGGGAGGAGGAGCATCCCCGAGGGCCAAGCTGCTGCCGCGGCGCCGGCAGATGCTCTCCACGATGGGCAGCGTTTTTCCTGTGACAGGGAGGCAGAAGGGCAAGGCAGATCCCATCGGGAGGCAGGGGAGCGTGATGCTGAGATCGGCCTCGCTGGCTGACCTCTCATGAGCCCCTTGGCTTGGGTTGCAGCTCCCTCTGGAAGGAGAAAGGCATCACTGACCATTCAAACCTTTGGAGCAGCACCTGGAAGGTGTCGCTTGTGCTGGTTTTTCCATACGAGGAGACTCCCTCATTAACACACGAAGCGCAGCCCTAGAAATAAAAGCAGCATCTCCTGATTAATTATTGAAGGGGGAGTCCAGGGAGGAAGGGAGGGTAGGGAAGCTGAAGTGGCTAGTCAGCATCTGTTAGAGGTGCAAAGATAAATGAAATGAGAGAGCAGATAAGTGCATACAAATCAGCTCACATCTGTACCTCTAATACATCTCTTTCAAAACGCTCGTGTCATCAGATGGCGGGTGAAGCCTTGCAGGTCAGCTGTCCTGATTCAATTAGGTCCACGTTCGCAGGCGCCGGGGGAATTTGCTCCAGCAGCCCTGTCAAAGCGTTTTGCAGCCTGCCGTGGACCAACGTTTCACCCTCGCTCCAGCCCCACAGAGGCTCCTGGGGAAGCCCCATCGTGTCTACAGCCCTTCTTGGGCTGGATGAGCCCTCTGCAGCTCCCGTTGTATTTGGCTGTCTACGGGGCAATGCAAAAACGAGGGGAGCCATGCCTGACCCCAGAGCAGAGCAGAAAGGGGTTGCTGAGAGCAGTAAAGGCAGGAGCAGGAGACCCACGGGGGGACCATGAGCAGATACTCTTCTCCTTGAAGCAGCATCCATGGCCCGTCCCTCTGGAGCCTGGTGGGGCACATCCAGCTCCCAGCACCTTCATCTTTCCCCAACCCACCCCATCACGTCCAAACATCCCAACTCATCCAGCACAACCAGAGGAGGGCAGCCGCAAGACAACAGGGGCGGAGATTTCTCAGGGAAATCCTCTTCCCTCTAATTTACCTGTCAGTTGTTTCAGTTGTTTGGGGAGGAATTTTTTTTTTTTTTTTTCCCCCCCCCCGGGGCTGCTGCCTGCGCTTTCTTTTCCCTTCCCCCAAAGAGCGGCTGGAGTTTCACGCTGCCTGACAGCATCTCCTGTCTTTCTCACCCGTTCCAGAGTGGCAGGTTGCCAGATGGTGCCCCATTAGGTCACATTTGCTCATTGTTTGGCAAACAGCGGCTTAATTCAAGTGCTGAGTTGACAGCTTGTTCTTCAAGACAATTTGCAAGTTGCAGTGTTGCAAATGCCAGCTTGGCTTTTCAGGGTAATGTTATTTCAGCTGCCTTAAAGGGATAAAGTTCTCTTTGATTGGAAAAAAAAAAAAAAAAAAAGAAGAAAAGGGTGAAACTGGAGGGAAGATTAAAAGGGTTTTAGTGGTTTTGATGTGGAAGGACCTGCGGTGTTGGTTGGCAAGTGTTCGGAAAGGGACCGTGGAGACTCTCCATGTCCCATCCCTCCTATCATTGAGGTCTTCTACCCGTGCCCCACGATCCTAAGGAATTAGGTGTGTTTCCAGTGAATCAGGCTTTCACAGGGAAATAACAATTTTGGTTTATTTTGGAAAGGTTTCAGCAGAGATACACATACACATTGCTGTGGCGTCACCTCCAAACCCTGCAGTTATAACCCCTAGACCCTGGGGGCTGATGATGCAGGCGGTGCTGAAGCCAAGTGCATGTCCCTCCTAAAGTCAAGGGCAGCAGCAGACACCCTGCGACCTGCTGCCCCCCAACGCTATGACCTGTGTGTGGGGCAAGCGAGTCTCCACCATCGCACGTGTGTAAATGGAAAGCGACACAGAACAGCACCGCAGCCATGCTCTTTCTTCTTCAACAGGTGGGCAAAAAAAGGCCAGGTTATAAAAGAAGCATCTGGTGACTTCTACGAAACCATCGTGGACCACACCTTCTTCTTCGAGCCCGTCTCCTGCGAGGTCACCAATGCACTGGGCAGCACAAACATCAGCAGGACCGTGGACGTCTACTGTAAGTCATCTGTACAGCTCGGCCCTGACTAGCCAGGGCTGAGCAGGGCCAGCAGAGCTGCCAAAAATGAACGGGCAGCTAGGTCTGACGTGCCCAGGGTGACCAGGACTTGCTGGGTTCTCTTGCGGCTCAGACTTCGTAAGTGCTCTGATGGTGGGACCCATGATTTCCTCCTGCCTGCTGAGTGCTTATGATGGTGGTCCTTGGGGAGCTGGTCATCCTGGGCTTGCAGCAGGCACCTGTCTCAGGCTTTTCTTTATTTGGGGGTCTTACGTGGCTGTGACCCACAGGTCCACCGGGACCTACCGCTGCTTCCTCTGACACAGTGATCTCTTTGGTTTGAGGGTTTCTGGTTGACACAGCCCATCGCTGGGAGTAACTCCAGTCTCCTCTGTGCAGTTGGGCCCAGGATGGCGACAGAACCGCAGTCCCTCCTTGTTGACCTGGGCTCAGATGCGGTCTTCAACTGTGCCTGGACCGGGAACCCATCTCTCACCATCGTCTGGATGAAGCGGGGCTCAGGCGTGGTAAGAATTGCTGCCGGGACGGTGGGGAATGGCACCCTCGGGGCGTGAGGTGCTGCGTGATGCTCCCCAGGGAGCGAATCCCATGCTTGAGGGCTGGGAGCTCCTGGCTGGACCACTGCTGGACCTACAAGGCTCCTCCACTGTGGGCTGGAGCATGCTCAAGTTGGGGGAGTCGGGATCTGGCCCAGCAGACTTCTCCACATCTCTTGTCCTGAAAAGCGTAAGGAGCTTTGCAAATATTAATCATGGCTCAGTCAGCCCAGGGAGGCGCGAGATTCTCTGATCCCCTCTTTACAGGCGGGGGGGCTGAGCAAAGCCACATTAAGAAGCTAAAGGAGGGCTGAGACGTGAAACTCGTCCAGAAGGCACACGCAGGTTTTGGTTTGAAAAGCGTCTTTCAGCTTCATCTGGGCAGACGTGTCCCGAAGCCGATGAGGCAACGCTGATTTATGCAGCTCAAGACGAGGTGTTATCAGAGCTGGACTCACACAGGAGGGAGGTGAACGGGCTGAGTCGCTGCCCTCACCTCTGCTCCCCAGGCACAGACTGAGGAGAGGAGCAGACATGGAGGCATTAACTGCTGGGGTATTTTTTCCAAACCATAATGACCCGGCGAAGGCCATCTCCTGGGAAGTAATTACAGACTTGGGAGAGCTGATGGCTCGCATCAGCTAAGGAATCCCAGTGGGTCAATAATCCCTGGGTGGTTTCCCATCCCGCAGCTGCGGTTGTTGTTTCTCTGGGTTACTATCATTATAGGCAACTCTCTCACACCGTCGGCTGCTATTTCATTTTCTCAAAGCCTCTGGAGTGGTGCAGGGCGGCTGAAAGGAGCCATGTGCAGCGAGGACGAGGGCGTCCTGACCCTCACGCTCCAGCCCCAGCCACACATCAGGGCTTGCCTTCGCTAACCGGCAGCGCCCAGGCAGCACGCAGGCAGAGCAGCCCTCTCCCTTTTTATTTGGCTCACTCTGGAGCTTGGAGCATCTCAGGGCTCAGGACGGACTCGCTGGCGGGTTTAATCCGGCAGAGATGCTTGCACTGGTCAGCAGAGCTGCCTCCATCTTCCCGGAGGGATGCTGGCAGGGGATGCTGCTTTGTAAAGCCCATCAGCGCCCGACCGTCACAGTGGGATGAGAAGAGGGCTGCTTTTTTCCCAGCCCCTCCGCTTTCAGAGCCAGGTCAGGATCCCACAAGATTGCCTTCTTTCCTCCTACTTTCCCAGAAGGAAACAAATCCGAGACTGAAGAGAGGGTGAGGCCAAGTAAGCACAGACATTTGAGTGTATATCCTTGTAATCAATGCTAAAACAGCGGGTTTAAAAGGGATCTGAAACTCTGTGCCTCTGCCTCATGCCACGTTAGGGGTGAGACTCCCATCTTTTTGCGTCAGGGACACCCAGATCCATGTCCAGCTGCCGCTCAGGGCTTTGCATGAGCACTGATTCCCGGAGGCAGCAGCTGTGGGAGCAGCAACTGAGCAGGCAGGAGCTGGAAGGAGGAGAGGTGATGGGCTGGCCCCAGTCTGCAGAGTCCTGGGGGAGAGAAGCAAAGGCAACCATGAGAAAGTACCCCCCAGGCACACGTTTCCAGCACAGCAACACATTGCTCCGAAAGCCGCTCTTTGTTTTAGCCCTTCCATGGTTTTTTTTTTAAATACCGCTAGTGCCAGGATTCTGCTGACAGCCTCAGCCAGATCCCTCTGCTTCAGCAATTTCCAAAGTTTAATAAAGCTGCTAATTGCACTGCCGGGGCAGGAGGGCAGCATGGTTGATGGCCACGCTGATCTATAGGGAGGGCTTGCCAAAAGCAGCTGAGATTTCCCCGGCTGTCCAGTCCCAGTTCCCGGGGGGCTGCCAGCTCTCCAGGTCGGTCTCCCACCACTTGTGGGTTTGAAATCCCAGAGTCAATCCTGGCAGCCTCCCCTGCACCCACAAAAGTAGAAATGCAAGCGTAGAATGTGGTTCTCAATGCTTTTCCTGCTCCGGATTACAGGGCAGTTGTGCCACTGCAGCCACCAAAATTTTTCTCCTGTATCTTGAACTTCTTGCAAAACTGGTGTTTGTAAAAATGCAGATTAATAGAAACAGGACTTATAGTCCCCTCTCAAAATGGAGTCGTTTCTTTATTCTTTGGTCAACAGCAATAAGTGATATATTTCCATGCCCCATAAGACATCGGGCTCATCTGCTTCATTTTCTCTGGGCTGCCCTGGAGCTTCTATCTTGCATCTCCTGTTCTACTCCTCATCGCCCCCCCCTGAAAGCAACCCCCTCCTCTCTTCCAGGTCTTGAGCAATGAGAACAAGCTGACCCTGAAGTCTGTCCGCCAGGAAGATGCTGGGAAATACGTGTGCCGAGCTGTGGTCCCGCGGGTCGGAGCGGGGGAACGGGAGGTGACGCTCACTGTCAACGGTACCTCTTGCTTTCCTATTGCTGTTCCATCCTGCCATCTCGTTTGCTTTGTTCCAGTTGCTCTGACAGCCTTGCATTGCTGAATTATCTCCTTGGATATTTGCTTTCAGAGCAAATCCCACCCACGGTTGGATCAGGGATGGTCCTGCCCTGCAGGCAATATGAGTAAATTGGATTTTGCCTTCATTTGCCTGGAGATGCATGGGTTAAAGGAAAAAAAAAAAAAAAACAAACACAACATAATCTAAGATTGGCTTGGTTCCTTATTACCAACAGGGGTTTATTGAGTAGTTGGGAGCGGGTATCTTTAAATCTTTAATAGATTTATCTTGCAAAAGCCTCGCAAGGTCGGAGAGCACTGTTGTCTCCGTTGCACGGCCAGAGAGCTGGGAATTGAGCCTGGATCCGAGACCAGCAGCCTAATCACTCTCTCAGAGCCCACATGAGGATCCCTCTGAGAGGCAGCACTGCTCGACAGCTCCTCCACAACTGCCTGGGGCTCCCCCAGCATGGTGTCAGGATGTGGCCCGGACCTGCACCCAAGTTCTGGAGCTGGGAAGCACTCCGGAGCCCGGGAGTTTAACGTTGACCTGGCCAGGACCCCACAGTAGCGATAACAAATTTGAGCCTAAATAGGAAAGGGAAAGAGCCAGGCAGGCTGCAAACAGTATAAAAAGAGTATGAATTTTGCATTCTCTCTCACCTGCACGACAAACTGGCAGGCGTCAGTCCCCGCTCACTGTCACAAAGAGAAGAAAATAAGCGGGGAAGCAGCACGGGCGATGGCAAGCGTTGATTTTAGTTGCAGATAAAGCAGGTGGGTAGATGTCCCATCCCTGGAACCATTCAGTATCAGGCTGGACGGGGCTCTGGGCAACCTGATCTAGTTAAAGACGTCCCTGCTCATTGCAGGGGGGTTGGAGTAAATGACCTTTAAGGGTCCTTCCCAACCCAAACTATTCTATGATTCCATAATGCTAGAAAGGGAAGCCAAGGGCAGTGCAGCAGGGGACTGAAAACCAACCCCCCCCTTGACTTCAGCTCAGCTCCTCGCTGCCTGCGTGCTCCTTCCCCAGCGGCTGCTGGGTTTTAATTACAATTAAACGAGCTCACAGAAAACAAAGCAACAAATTAGAGCAAACAAAGAACCTGCTCCTTTCCCGACATCCACCGGGCACGTGGCCATCTTGAACGCGGAGCAAAGCGCTCGCAGGCTCAGGGTCGTTTGGAGCGCGCGGCACGGAAAACCTTCTCTCGGGAGCTTTGCAGCTGACGCCGCCTCTGAGCTTTTCGCCTTGCGGAGCTGACGGGGGAGCAAACGAAATCCATGCTTGCGAGTTTTGGCTGTGAGCATCTCCCGGGAGCCGGCCGCCTGCAGCATCCCAGCTGGGATGTGCTGCTGGGGGGGGGGGCTCCGCCTCTGGGGTGTGGTGCAACCCCCCCCCCCCCAAAAAAAAGGTGACAACGTCGGGACACGCCGTCACGGGCGTCGGACCCTATGCCAAGGGAGAATCCCCCCACCTCCAGGTCGAGGTGGTCTCCTGGCCCTCCAGTGGAGGAGAACCAAGGTGGGCAAGCCCCAGAGCAGCGTCCCCAGGTCCAACGTCCACCAAGCAGCGGGACCTGGCAGCCCACCCTGCAGCTCTCCAACTCCAGGAGCACGGCACGGTGTGTCTAATCCAGCTGAGGAATTCTGCTGAAAGTCTTCCCTGCTGCAGTTTGAGAGGGAAGTTGAACGCCTCCTGTTTTCAAGTGATTTTAAATCCAGAGGGTGATACAGTTGTCACTGGTATTACCAGGTGTCTTTCTCCATGGACTGGGATTCGTCACGGTAAAATTAGGCGTTTAGAAGTGTCTGTTCTGGGCTAGCTGCATAGACTCTCATCCGTGCACGCGGGCTTCGGGCAGGCTGATCCATCCCACCGAGAGCGCGGGGACCCCAGCTGAGGGATCTCCATCTGACCCAGTCTGAGCCTGCGATCCCACGCGTCGTGGCCCATCCGCTCTGGAGACAGCCAGAAATGGCAGCGGCGCGTTGCTGGGGTGGGAGAGCATCCCCCCCCCCCCCGTGCCCCACGCTGCCGTCGGGTCTGGCTGCCTGCCCCACCGGCAGCCTCGCCGGCCGGGTCTGCGGTCGCAGAGAGGGGCTGGCAGCCCGTCCCCACGCCGGAGAGAGGAAGCAGATAGATAGGATTCAGAGTCTGGTTAATGGGAAGGAGGATTATGCAAACGAGCAGCGTTTGGCAGGGCCGGAGCAGCAGAGGCAAGAAGGAAGCGAGGAACTGGTGGTGCCGTCATAAATCAGCAGCGGTCGGATTTATGGCCCCTGTGTGAGGCAAAGCCTCTCAAAGCTCCTGACTGCACACAAGCCTGGTTGCAGCTCCCACCCTGGTAGGAGAAGCCCCCCCCCCCCCCCCAAATCACCTCCACAGCAGCACTGCCTGCAGTACGGTCTGTCGATGCATCGTCCGAGCTTGGCAGGGGCTGCTGAGCAGGGACCACCCCCCCCTGCTCTGCCAGAAAGGGCTGGACGCCCCTGGGTGGCTAATTCGGGGTATAAAATGCCTGGGATTCACCCCAACAAGCAAACCAAGCCTGCCGGAGCTCAGCAGCTCTGCAGCAGCCCGTCGAAGGCTTCACCCAGCGGGTCTCCACCACCGCTCGTGGACGGGGACCCTGGGATGGTCCCTTGCAAGGCCAGGCAAGCCCAGGGCTTCTGCAGGAAGCAAGGAGTTAAACAAAACTCTCCTGCCAAACCATTTCCAGTGTTGTGAGGGCTTGGGAGGAAAGGTTCAGATGGACTCAAGCAGGCTGGAGAAGTGGAGGCCATCCTTTCATTCCACCAAGGCTCCCGAGTCAGCAAGCTGCCTTCTCTTTTGTGCGAGCCGCCAGGACCGCACAAATAAATTGGCACTGGCGTGCTAAAAATAACTGCAACCAATAGCTCCACCATTTATATCCATAGCAACATTGTTTAAAGCCTTTTTCCTGCCTGTGGGCTGTCTCACACTTAGTGCTGAATGCCAAGCCAGAGATTGGCAGCTTTCATAAGGAGCCAAAGCCCGGTGGAGAATCAAACACCGGCCACAAATGTGAAGAGGCTGCAACTTCATGCTATTATTTCTGGGCATGTTCATCTCACAAATGGTCTTTAGTCATACGCTATTATCATGATGATAAGCCTTCGACTCTGAACTCCTAAAGCAATAATAAAACCCAAAGCCGTTGGCATTTGTGCCATTTAAAATCCACTCGCCTTGGGGAAAATGATCCTTTTAATGATTATTAAGCCATTTTTCTCTAGCATCACCCAGTCTTGGAACACTTCCAGAATTTATAAGTAACATACAATTGTTGAAATAGAAAGAGGATGGCTTCTTTTTTTTTTTTATTATTATTATTATTATTATTTAGGCCTGGCCTACAGATCCCATCGCTGCGTTTCCCTCTGTTGGCTTTGGGTTCATCAGTGATCAGGGCAGGCGAGCAGGAGGATCACCTGGCACATGTTTAGATAGCCAAGAAGCTCACCCTGCCTGCCTTGTGCAATCCTTGGAGGATGACAGGACCAAATGGGTCCCCATCCCATGTCCATTCCAAGAGGAAAAAGCCCCAGCACACATTTAGGACCATCCACCCATCATCCTTGGCTGTTGGCACGGTCCTGCTCTTGCACCAGCCATGGGGAGTGAAGGCCAAGGCTTGCTGGCGTTGCCACCTTGGGCATGCTTGCAAAGGACTATTTCACAAAAGCAAGGTGCCGTTTCCATCCTCCTGAGACCCTGGCCACCGCTTCTGAAAGATGGGCTTTCAGTGATGGATAAATAAGAATGCACACCTTGGGAGCACGCCTGGAAGAACATCTTGAAGAAGAGCATTTGGGCAGAAAACCACAGCAAAATGTCTTTTTTTTTCCTTGTCTTTTCCACTAACATATAGCTATGACCATTACATCAAAACAAGTCCTGACCTTCTCCTTCACGCACAGCTCCTGCTATTACTGATTTTGACGGTGGCTCCCTTTCAGCAGCAATTTCCTGAGCTGCCAGAACCATGTGTCTGGTCGCTGGTCAGTGAAGCACGCTTCACTGGGCTGGTTTTCCATGCATCTCACCTTGGAACATCATAGGGAAGTGAGGATGAAGCTGTATCTCAGTGGAAAGAGTTTGGGGAGTGTGAAAGTTTGGTGCAGGAAGGTGTCGCTAGGACAATTTCGATAGGCGACTGTATGTATGAAGGCACCAGGGTGAAGAATTTAGCATTTTAGTCCATTTTTGTGCATTCTGCAAAGTCATAAATGAGTGATTTGGATGAGCATCAGTCAGGAATACCCAGGCAAATCTGTTTCTCCCCACTTTACCCCAAAAGGAACACATCGGCTGCAGGGGGAAAAGAAAGAAATGGGAAACGTTTCTCAAATCCATGAAGGATGAATTGATGGAACAGAGGATGAGCACAGCAAGCTCTCCCACTCCGACCATCCCAGAGACCTGGGCTCAAGACCCAGCTGAGGTTGTCCCCAACAGCCTGTTGGCCTCTTGTAGCAACTCCTGTTGCAGCTCTTCCGCGTTGCACAGCCGGTGTGGAGCCCGGTGGCGTTTGCAGCGTGTTTGCACATCGCTCCGCACACGTGGGCATGAGTGGGCATGATGACCAGGCTGTATTTTCTGAGAAACCCAGTGACGGACCCGAAACCAGGAGTGACAACCCAGAGTGAACATCTGAACTAGCCGAGCTGGGGCAGGGGGAGATCTGCCAGCCCCTTCCTCCTCCCTCTCCCTGCCCTGCATCACCTGCTTACATCCCGCTGCCTGCTGTTTTCTGCCAGCAGCAAGCCACTCATAGAAATGCAAATCTACTTTAATTAAGGAGGCTAATAAACAGCAATTAGGATCCCAGCTCTTGCGCTGCTCCCTTGGGGTGATCCCCTCCTCCGGGGGAGGTCTTCAGGGCTCCTGGAAGAGTGGGGGGACACGCTGATGCCACCAAGCCGTGCTCTCCTCTCCCAGCCGTGACTTCAGGATGTCCACGGAGGGAGGACAAGGACATTTCCCTTCACAGGCCGGCTCAGCTGGTGCATTCGGTCTCATACGGCTCAGGGAGAGCCTTTCCCAGCCAGGCTGGGCTCCTTTCAGCAAAACAACTGGCGCAGGAGAGCCCAGCTGATGGGGTCCCAAGGTTTTTCCAGCAGAAATTTCTCCCAGTGCATGGGGCAGGCTGATTGCGGGATGCTGATGGGGGCTTGCAGGTAGCAGCTGCCCATCAGTGCCACCTTCTGCCCTCCTACCTCTTCCTTAAGCCCCTGGGGAGCAATTAGTGTGATGGTTGCTTAGCAAATCCAGACGAGAGCAGAAGAGGAGCACTCGGTGGGCTGGGCTCTTGCTTTGCTTCTGGAGCAAACATTCCTTCTCAGGTGCCAAGTTCACCAAGGAGATTTCTGCAGGGTGATTTAATCACCCTCCCAGCACCAGGGGTGTGGGAGCAGAGATGGGGGGACCCTGGTGCTTTGCGGGGGCTTGGCAGTTAACCAGAAAAAAGCAAAGCCCCTGTCTTTGTGTCCCTCTGCATCAAAGGAAGCGAAGGAGCTGTTGCTCCGTCCTTTCCCCTCAAAGGGGGACCCCGATGTCCCTTCGTGGCTCTGCTAACACCCCTCCTCAACTCCACCAGTCCCTTGTGAGATGCCAGCAGCCCTCTCCTCTCTCTCGCAGGGCCACCCATCATCTCCAGCACCCAGACACAGCACGCCCTGCACGGCCAGAAAGGGCAGATCAAGTGCTTCATCCGCAGCACCCCGCCACCAGACCGAATTGTGAGTAGCACCCCGTGGGGCATGGTGGGTGCCGTGTACACCTTGGGGTGCCCTACAGTGAGCAAACCTGCCCCAGGCTGACCCACCCACACCCCCCCCCCTTTCTTGCTTGGCAGGCTTGGTCCTGGAAGGAGAACGTCCTGGAGTCTGGGACCTCTGGGCGCTACACGGTGGAGACGGTCAGCACGGATGAAGGCGTCATCTCCACGTTGACCATCAGCAACATCGTCCGGGCCGATTTCCAAACCATTTACAACTGCACTGCCTGGAACAGCTTCGGCTCCGACACGGAGATCATCCGGCTCAAAGAGCAAGGTGGGCGTCGCTGAGGAGCCGGTGGGGGCTGCTGGGTGGTGGGGATTAGCACCTGGCTGGGCTGTAAGAGTGGGGAGATGCTGTGAGAGGCAGGAGGTGCTCAGAAAAGCTCTTGGCCTGCCCAAGAGGAAATTAGGAAGGATGGTGAAAATGCTCCAGCCATGCCAGCTGTAGGATTGCATCCTTAGGGTGCCCGGTCCTGGCAGAGGCTCTGGAGGTGGGACGAGCCCTCCAAAGCCTCTGCTTGATACGGTATCGCCCTGTTTTGCCTGTCCTGCTGCAGCTGGAAGGCACAGGCCCATCCCGCACCCCTCGCTCCCTGCCCCACGGCACAAGGTGATGCCACTGCCACAGGCTGAAGGATCGTTAAGAGAAACAGGAACGGCTGCTCCTGCCAGAACCCCGCTGCTCCGCGGCGGGGGGAGTGAGCGGGAGGAAGGCGTTTGGGCTGGTGGCAACCCTCCACCCTGGCCACCAGCCACGATGCCAGCACGTGCTTTACCCACCCAGCCGCAAAGGCGCCTCAGGCAGTTCTCAGGGCATGGCCAGGGGATTTCCACTCTCGGGGCTCTCCATAGCAAGGGAGGGAGATGGCTTTTGTGAGGAATGCTTAAGCTCCTGGAGGGACTCCAGTTCTCTTCTATTTTATTAAATGCCAGGGCAGGCAGGTGGATTGTTCTCATTAAGCCGTGATTTATAGGCAAGGCTGCCGTCCAGATTAAATCAGAGCTAAATGAACCCCTTAAAATTAGCCTTGGGCTTCTTCCAATGCAAACAGAGCCAGTGGTTTTTCCAGGTCGTCTGCCAGTCAGCGGGAGCGCTCAGCGGCCAGCCCAGGTCCCGGCGGAGGGTGGCCGGGCATCCCAGTCCACAGCCGGCTCTGCAGCCCTGCTGGGCGGTGCAAGGGGACATCCCTGCCCCGGGCAGGGGGCCGCAGCAGGGTGGCTGAGGACATCCCCTTCACGGGGACGTCCCCACGGAGCGGAGGGCTGAGCGCTCAGGGAGACAGACTGACACGTGCGCTTGGGCTGTGCAAGGCTGTGGACACTTGCTTTATTTTCAAACAGGTACGGAAATGAAATCAGGAGCTGGTATTCAAGCAGGTATGGAAATCATGAGCTGACGGTGAACGTGAATTGTCCCCAGCCGTTACCACGCCTGAGGACCCAGCGTCCTCCTCCTGGCCCAGCAGCTTTCGGGCAGGGCAGGAAGGGGTGTAGGAAAGCTGCTGGGCAGCAACCGGGGCACTGGCTGGGAAGCTGGAGCAGCCCAGTCTCTGCTCTGCCGCTGACCCCCTCTGCAAACCAACACTGCCTTCCTGTGCCCCAGCTCCCCAGCCACTGAGAGGGGGATAATATTACGCAGCCACGTTTTAAAGTGCTGGGAAAGGGACCGCTTAAGTGCTATTATGGGGAAAAAAAAAAAAAAAAAAAAGAGGGAGAAGTACAAGTTTCCAGGGTCATTTGCAGACATCAGCTTGTCTCAGCATCTTGGGAGAGAGCTGGCCGGCATCCATCGCAGCTGGAGCAGGGCTGAATGATAGTTGGGCAGGTGCTGCGGAATGTGCCGCCCTCGTGCCTTCCTCATCCTCTGCACCAGAGCAGGGTTCATGGGGGAGCACATAGCCAGCAAACTGCTCCTCGTCAGCTCGCCCTTCTCTTCGGGACACAGTTTACCATCCCAGCCACTGGTTCCTGTCACTGCCCTTTTGCAGTTACCTTTTTTGGTTTTTTTTTCAGCCCAGAGGAGCCCCAGGCACTTTCCCCATCCTGTTCCCTGCATGATTCTCCGTCATCTTCATCACCATCACTACCTGCTTCTCACTGAGATCTGCATTGCAGATCCTGCTCCCCCAAAGATGAGAGCCAGCAAGCACTCCCAGGGACCCCACGCTCCTGTCTCCTCATCCTTTTTCTCCATATTCCCCTGGGAGAGCCAAAGAAAAATCCCATGACGAGTTACCACCATCGGCAGCAGCGCTGCCTAGCAGGTGGCCTCAGGCTACCCGGAGAAGAAAATCCCAGTTTCTTCTTGCTGTGGTTCACCTGGTGTACTGGAGGATGCTGGTTTTAGGATGAGCTCCTTGGTTCAGCTGGAACCAGCTCCAGCTCAAGGCTGCAGTGCTCAAGGGCACGTGCCTTTTCCCTGGAGGCCCTGGGGAAATTCCTGCACCGCGGTGGTGAGCGCTCTCCGTGGCTTTGCCCATCTACGCAGTGCCACGTGGGTCATGTCACCAGCGACCCAGCTCGAGTGACAAGTGGCACATCAAGGGACCAGCAGGGTCAGGCAGAAAATTGGTGAGCGAGCCAGAAACTGAAAAGCATCAGCATAAACCACCATCCAAATCACTCGAAACAACAAGCTAAGCGGGGAAAATTAAAGGCTCTTTTTAGATCAAGTATAAACAGAAGAGGCTAAATTCAACGAGCACCATTTTTTTTTTATCACCTGGCAGTTCTCAAAGTAGGGCTCAGGACTCATGGGGCCACTGCTAAAGGGTAACATAAAGTGGCTTTGCAACTCCCCTGTCCCAGCTGGGATTAGGTAACAACGAAGAAACCCTTTGCTGACTACACGGGGAAGGTGCTGGTGGAATTACAGCTTCCCCCTGTAAGGATGTGTGCCCCGTAGGAAGGCTGAAAGGCACAGGCAGGATTTGTGATCTCGGCTCCAGGATGAAATTTGTGGTCAGCACCAGCCCCAGGCAGGGGGACAATGAGAAATGGTTTCTTTATCACCCAGTCAAGTGGCAGCCATCGGGCTGCTGGGCTTTGCTTCTCAGCTAGTGTCCCCACGTCCCCACAGTCCAGCAGCATTCATGTCCCCCAGCTGCACAGACAAGGAGGAAAGAGAACCACTTCTCTGCATCCATTTTTTTTCCTAAATTCATCCCATCCATTTGCAAGGCAGGGGCCCCGAGGAGAAAACACGTGTTGGAGGTGTCCAGGAAAGCAGTGAGAACACACTCACCGAGCTTAGCTGGCCATCCTGGAAGGGGTTACCCCTTTTTTGGCCCGCTGTGGGTTCACAGGAGCCTACGAGGTGCTAAGAAAGAACAGGAATGGGGACCTAGAGATACCTGCAGCTTTGGGGGAGAGGGTCTTCGGGATGCGGTTTATCATCCCAGCCAGCAAACCCACAGCTCCAGTGTCCTGCCTGTGGATAATCCAGAGAGCAGGCACTAACCCAGCACTGGCCGTTAAGTAGGAGCTGTGCTTTGAGGGGCTGGAGGAACTGAGCAGGGAGATAACAAGGCTCTCGGGCTGCAAATCTGACCCTCTCACCATAAATGTGATTTCATATTCCACCCTCCCCACACCTCACAAGCTGTTGCCTGGATCTGCGCAAATAAATCAGCTTTTCTGGCTGAGCTGCAGTCTGAAATCCCCGCCGGGAACCCAACTACAAAGTTATTGTAGGCAGAAGGACGTGAGCGTGTAACCCCTGCTCTGCAGCGGGCTCTGCTCCCCCAGGCTGCCTCCCGCAGCCCCCCCACCCCGCAGCCCTCGCCCACCACAGCCGCCTGGCCTCTGCTCATCCCCAGCACGGGCCGTCCCTCCTGTCCCAGCCCTCGCAGCACCCACAGGAGTTCAGGGAAGGATGACGGGGTTGATAAGCCGAGGGAGAAGGCAGGAGATGGGGATATAAAGCAGGCAGAGGCTGGGAATGGTGGCTCTTGGGTTAATTCATCCATATATACTTAACAGCGCCTGCTAGGACAGCTGAGCTACAGCCCCAGGCAGGCAGGCTCGGGGCCTGACTCCATCCCTTCATCCCAGCTCTAACCTCTCTCTCCGCCTGCTCCGATGCCATTTCTCTTTCTTAATACTATTAACACACCGTCTTTGGCACTTTTCATCTTTTAGAGGTAGTCATTCACTAACCCGCAGGGCGCTGTGGAGAGCGGTTGTTAACCTGCTCTTCTGGCTCCCTCCTCTTCTCTCCCTCCCAGGGGAAACTGAGGCACAGAGAGAGATCAGGCCTTGCAGAAATTGCAGCACGCGCCCGTGTCCCACGGGCAGCCCGTGCCGGCCGCACCCGCGCAGGGACGAGGGAGCAGGGGAGGAGGGTCCATTTGGCCCCAAAACCCTCCCCAGGCTCATCACCGAGCCACTTGCCGGTCGCCGGGGGTGGGTCCCTTGGGGAAAAGCCACCTCTCCAGCCTTCATCCCGGCTTCATGCTCCCTCTCCTTCCTCTTGCAGAGGCGGTGCCGATGGCGGTGATCATCGGAGTGGCCGTGGGGGCCGGCGTGGCGTTCCTGGTGTTGATGGCCACCATCGTCGCCTTCTGCTGCGCCCGCTCCCAGAGGAGTAAGTGTCTCCCCCCCAGCCCAGCCCCCCCCGCAGCATCCCTTCGGGAAGGACTGGGGCTAAAACCTCGGTGGGGGAGCAGACAAGGCTCCGATTTCTCTGCGAATTTACGGAGACGGCACCAGCGCAATCTGCTCCTCGTGTTGGGCTACCAAACGTTCAGCGTGAACGGCAGCCCTTCGGGAAGAGGGAAGGGTTTCGGAGCACGTGGAAAAACACACCAGGGTAAATGCTAATCCCCGCTGGCAGCTCAGGAGGCATGCAGGGCTGTCCTGGGGGCAGAGGGCTCTGAATCCCTCCCCTTGGAGAAATCTGGATGTCCAAGAGGGAGAAGCATCCTCGCCGTGCCACGCTGGTGCTTCAAATCCCTCCTCGGTTTGTACTCTCTGTTCTGCTTCTGGTTTAATCCCGTTTTTCTCGACATAAAATGCATATTTCCTAGTGGGAAATTACAGCCAGATGAGAGGTTTTACATGGGACGTGGATTTTGAAGCCTGGCTGCGGTGGGAATATGAGTTAAAAAGACATTAGGGACGCAGGTAGAGGAGAAGGAGGGGTAAACAGGGTGGCATTGGGTTGCCTCATTGAAAAGACACCGGGAAATTAAAGGAGGGCTGTTGGCTAAATGAAAAGGCATCAAACCAGGAGGGAGAAGAGCATGATTGTCTGGAGCATCTCAGGCCACGGGGGAGAAGAGGAGATACTCGACGGTGCTCCCAGCTTGGGAGGCACGTGGTACGGGTGCTAGGATGCCAAGCTCTGTGTGTGTGTGTGCGTGCCAGAAAACCCAGTTGTTTTTTTATTTTTATTTTTCCCCCTCTTGATCATTTGCAAAGCAATCAAAGACACCAGGCTCCTCCTGGATTTGGGTATGAACGCACAGCCTCCCGCAGCAGAAATGTGTTTAATTTTAAGAGCGATAATGATGCCTCTTCCTGTTTCAACCCCTGTTTTTTTGAACTCTTGCAGCCTCCGTTAGCAAGTGTTAGCAAATTAAATGGGGGGAAGTGATTAATCTTGCTTTTTGGGGAAGGATGGCTGATGGACAGGACCCAAGACCAGGCCAATTCAATGTTGAGGAGATTATTCAGCGGTGATGGACAACTGGAGCACCTGAAGGAAGCAGGGGCCAAGCCGTGTTACCATGCCAGTGGTCGGACGGAATCGGCCGTGCTTTCCCCACACCACATCACTCGGAGCAGGGAAGAGCGTGTGGTTCATTATCTTCCTCTTACTTGATCTCACCAGATGGTGTGGGGTTCTTTACGAGGACATAGGCTTTAACATTAATGCCATGATGACAGATCAAAGACTCGGTGCAAGTGCCAGGTTTTAGTCCCTCGCAAGCTGGAAGCATGCAGAGGATGGGCAGGTCTTCGGGGGAAAAAGCAGGGCTTGTCCTTCCAGGTGGGGACAACCCCATCCCGCCCAGATGCCTTGTGTGGTTCATCCCTTGGATTCTCAGTGGTAAATCAGGAATAAGAGGCGTTTTCCTCACCGGGGCTGGGAGGATACGAGCAGGAGGAGATCATCCAAGAGATCAGCGAAGATCCCTGCCTTCCCCAGCGAGAAAGAGGGGGAGGATCAGCTCAACCTGTCCCAGGAAGCCGGACCCAACCGCGGAGGATGCTTTGCTGGGCGCTCGCCGGGGCTGCCCCTTGAGAGGAGCGGGATGCTGTGGTGCTAATGAAACAAATCCCGGGTGCTGGTGGGGTTCCCCACTCTGCCCTTCGTGCTGGTGGCAGCAGGGCTGCTTGGTCCCCCAACACACGGCTCCAAAAGGCACTTGGACCTGCCAAAACAGGGTCCCTCCTTGTTTTTTGGGGGGGAGCTGAGAGCATAAGCAGCTAAACCGGCCCCTGAGTGACACTCGTGGTGCAAAACTCTGCAGGAGAAGACTGGCTGTCCCAGGGCAAAGGGCTTTCATCCCAGCTTTGCAGGCGCTGATGCAAACTGGATTCTGTGGCCATTATCTCCAGTGGCAGGTGAGCGTTAGGAAGGTAGAAACAGGAGGCTGAGAAGGTGAGGAAATCATGGTTAGTGGTGTGAAATCAGCAGAGGCATTACGGAGATCAGCTCAGGAGTGATGGGACCAGCAGAGCACTTTGATATCAGGAGAGGGACTCATTTCCTACCAGGATGACTGCAAGATTCCTCTCCCAGGACAAATACCAGAGCTCTGTTGCATCATTTAAAACAACAAAACCTGTCGGCAGGTTGCTGGGCTGGCTCCACACAGCTCCCGGCGGAGGGGACAAGGTGACCCAGCAGTAACTCTGGAGAAGGCATCTCCTGATGGCTGCAGCCCGCTGCCAACCGCAGCTAATGGCACTGTGGGAGGCAATTCCCGGCCTTGCTTTGGAGAGATGCAGCAAAAAAAAAACACACCGGGTGCAGACACACCAAGCCTGGAGGCTCTGGAGAAAAAAAAAAAAAAAGAAAAAGGCTTTATTGCACATCTGTTGTTGTATCTTCGGTGACTTAACGGCCCAGAGTTATTTAATGGGGAACACTCCTGGGAGAGGATGTGCAAGACAGTAATTAGCTTCTCCTTGTGATTAAAGACGGAGGCTCTGGCACCAGGAATGTGGTCTCAGCAAGAGGGAAAAAAAAAAAAAAAAAAAAAAAAAAGAAGGAGCAGTTGTAACTCTTTGCCTTGCACTCTGAGACTCAGGGATGTCTGAGGGTGATGGGGGGGTGCAGATACCAAGAGCACAGCGCGCTGAGCTGGATTAATTCTAGGCTGGAGCCTCAAGCCAGTCCCAGTTGTGTGATTCAGTTTGGTTTACAGATAAAATCGTCTCCTCCCGCCCGGTCCAGCCTTTGCTGGACTGAGTCGGTGCGGTCCTGGCTTGGCAGAGCGCTGGCAGTGCTTTCAGCTGGAGGTAGATCTGACGAGGTTCGAGGCAGTTTGGGGTCCAGGAGGGCTGGCACAGCCATCCTGGGAGGTGAGAGCCAGCTGAAGCCTGGCTTCAAAGCTGGGAGCTGTTTAGATCTCGCTGTTCAGATTTGCATCCATCTCTGCTTTTCATCTCGGATCCGCATGGCCGTTTCTGCTCCTGCTGTTCGGTGTCTTTGGTTTAATTTTGCTAAAATGACTTCTTCAAAGCATGCCTGACACCTTCAGGGAAGGCAGGGAGTGTCTCCAGAAATGTCTCTCTCTGCCCTGTGTGAAAACAGGCTGCTTCGAGCAGCAGCCAGGGATGATTTCATCATTCCCAAAGCCCTGGCTATGTCTTTGCTCATAGCTTGGCCTTTCCCATATGTATCTGCGTCCCAAACCTGGGGAAGACTTTTCTCAGGGGCTTCCCAGAGCCAGGGGAGAGGGGGTACATCCCTCAGGAGCAATATTCTGCACGCTCCTCCAACAGACGCTACAGATCAGCAGTCTGGACAAACATCTCATTGAGCAGTCCTACTGCAGCCCAGCCCCTGTTAGTAACACCATGAGTATGGCAGAGGCTTCCCAAGCTCCCAAAGGCATTAAAATAGAAATCTGAGCTCTCCAGAGGTGAAGGTTTCACACGCCCATATCTTACGGCAGTACAAATACTGCTCCCGCAATTCTTGGGTGAGCTTGCTGAGCTGGGGTTAATTTTCCCCAGTGCTGCTGGACATCCTCAGCAATCAGTCACAGCCCTGAGGGTGCTCCACGATTGCCTGGGACTAACCCCCCCCCCCTTTCTCCATCTCGCTCTTTGCCCAGATCTCAAAGGTGTGGTTTCTGCCAAGAACGATATCCGCGTGGAGATCGTACACAAGGAGCCAGCCTCGGGCAGGGAGACGGAGGAGCACCCAACCATCAAGCAGCTGATGGTAAGGATTTACTTCTTCTCCCCATAAGCAATTACTCTGGGTGTTTGATGGTAATGAGCCCAGGCACATGTAGTTCAGTGCCGTAATCCCCACTCAAGGCAAAGATGCTCTTCCAAAAATCGTGCTCTTGAGATACACATTCTCCTGCCATAAAAGCTCCTCAAGTGAAACTTTGCTAATGAGGAGGGAGAGCTGGGAGAGGTTTATTGCAACAGCCCAGATGCCCGCGGGGCTAATTGCAGAGCAAATTTGCCACCTCGTGTGGGGAAAGAGCTTGCAAACTGCAAGTAGACACGCAATAGGTGAGCACAATATAATAATGAGCTAATTAGCCAGTGAGAACTGCGCTCTCCTGGATGCGCTTTAGAGAGTTACATGTGCAAAAATAATGTACGTGCGCACAGTTGGTTGCAGATTGCTGAACACCAGGGGCGTGGGGCCAAGCCTGGACCTGGGTCTGTAATAACCTGGGAGGTGGCACCTTCCTGAGGCTGCTGCCTTTGCCCGAGGGCACCAAACGCTGGTGGTTGGGATCCCGGGAAATTCAGCTTGAGGCTCCGCAAACCCCTGTCGCCACTGTTCTCCGTGCCTCAGCCCCGATTTGCCTTTGCTTTTGCTTGCTGGTGTCGCGCCGCGGGTGACAAATAGAAGCCAAACAAACGGCAAAGAAAGGCAAGTGGCTGTAAAAGTTGAGAGGAAAGAGCAGATAGGAAGGGAGAAGGGATTGAAGAGGCTGGAGGCTGCTGTCTAGGCTGATGGGTGGTTTTTTTCCCGTTCTAACCATCCGTTTTTGGGGCAGACTTGTAAGCATGAGTACGCCCTGCCTGCAAAAGCTGTGCAGTGAATTACTGGTGGAAAAGCAAGGCTGAGCAACGTCGGGTGGGCAGAATCGAGGTCTGCTGATGCTCGTAGACAGCAAGGGAGCCTCGAAATGGGAAGACAGGAGGAGATGGAGATCTGGTGTCTTATCCCAGCAGCCAGCTTTGCCCTGAGGAGCCTGCAGATCCACGGAGGGATTTGCAAGGCTTCTCTCGGTAAGCTGGGACTCGGGTTTGGAGCAGTCTGCTGAGATGAAGGGGAATGAGGAGCTTCCTCTCCATAGGACCCTGTACCACCATCTGTATAGACAGTAATCAACAGCGCCAAGCCCAGATCTGGCTTCCAGAGGAGGGATCAGCCCAAACACCACTCAAGACCTTAACCACCAAGCTGGAAGCACGCACAAAGCCTCAGCAGAGGAAAACTACAAGGAATATTTATCCCCTGAGAAGTAAATGAGGAAGAGGACGGTCGTGGGACGTCAGGCACAAGATCTTGCAAGACATTGGATGCTGGGTGGATTTGGCACCAGCCGGGACATCCAGCCTGGCAGGGAGAAGACATCAAAGCTCCCTCCCCTGCCTGGACCGGAGCCTCTGCATCCTCATTGCCCTTGGCAAGAGCATTTCCAGCAAATACTTCTCGATTTCTTCTCTCCTCAGAGTCCCTGGGGACCCTCGCTCTCCCTCATGCCCCTCCTTGCCGTTTGTGAGCATCCTTCTCCGGCCAACAGCCACCCAGGCTCCCGATGCTAAACAGATTCCTAATAAGAGGCTCAGAGTTTGTCAATGAAACGATGGCTCAAGTTAAAAAAATTCATCCTTGCTAACGAGCAGTGATGAGACCTCTCCAGCAGGAGCAGGGGGGCAATGCACAGCACCCCTTGCTTGCTCCCTACCCTCACCCCAAGACTTCCCTGCTCTCCCTCCTCCCCTTACCAGCATTATTTCCCCCCGCTGCTTCTCCATTTGCCTGCTCTAAGCTTCTTAGGATGTTTCCAGCCCCGATGACATCCTTTGAAACGATCTCCTTGCCCTCCACAATGTTCATAACACCTTGCAGTTTAAAACATCAACTGCGAATTTCGTTAACGTGCTGGGTGCTTGCGCCGAGAGATCATTAGCGCGGGTGTTAACGAGAAGCAGGCCACGCTTGCAAACGGCTCCCCCCTCCGCTCGACACGTTGCTGCTTGGCACCAGCCTTTTCACTCCCCACCCCAGACCCTTGGCCGAGCCCCTGAGGGGCCAGCACAGCCCCAGCTGCTCCTGCCAAGCTTCGGGAGCAGAGATTTCTCGGTTTCCCGCGGTGGCTCTGCCTCGCCGGAGCGTTTGTGGCTGCACAGTGCCAGCCTGACTCTTCTTTGCCCGCCCCCTAAACGCTCTTGCATTTGTTATTCTCCAGCCATCTGTGACCTCCGCGGCTCCCCGTGCTTTTTCACAAATAATTATTCATGCATCTATAAATTCATTAACACCTTAGGATACACGTCATGCTGTCTGATTTGCATATGTTCACATTGTCTCAGCGCCGTCTCCCCCCCCCCCCCCCCGCCCCCGTTAGCTGTTCTGCCAGGAGCTGCCTACGGGCAGGGGAAAGGCTGCCAGCCCGCGGGGGCCAGAAAGCAAACAGCAGCCAGTGGCTGGAGGGAAAAGAGCCCGTTAAAAGGTCTGATCTTGGAGAAAAGAAATCACACCGGCAGCTTTCTCTCTCTTGTCAGGGTACATTGCATCAGCACGCCAATTCGGGCGAGCCTGGTTTGTGATCAGGGGGTTGAAGGGCAACGTCAGCTCGGAGGTGGCATAACCTCCTCTGTTATCACGGCTGGGTTTTATTCCTGGCTGATTGAACCCTGGGCCTCAGTCTCCCCATCTGTGAAATGGGGCTTAATGAGCCTAAAGGAGCCATCCCCGCAGCCCGGAGCAGTCGTGATAGAGACCATCCCAAAGTGACCAGCAGGCAAGAGCATCCCAAGTCAAAGGGGAGCCAGTGTGACCCAGGCATCGCCTTTGGTTCATATTCAGGATAGAACAGGCAAAATAACTCACCCAGTGCCCAGGCGGATCATCTTTTCCTTGCTCACCTTTTTTTCTTGTCTCCGTCTTGAAACCCATCCCTCTGCTCCAGGGGCTCTTCCCAGTTTGTTCACAGCTCGACGTGTTTTCCACTCAGCAGCTCAGCTCAGATCCCCATGGAAGTGGAAAAATTAAAAAAGCAGAGGTGAAATTCAGGGCGAGGCTCGTTTCTACCTGCAGCCCAGCCGTCACGGCATCATTTTCTCTGCCTTCCTCCCCAAGAAATGCCCCGAGTGCCCAGCGGCGGGTGGCACAGCAGCCTTGGGAAGCACCAGCAACCCCCTGAGCTGGCTTATCCCCGCTTACCCCAGGGACGTTCTCCCCGTTGCAAAGTCTGGCTCGGCGCTGGGTTGCACCTCCACAACATCTGAGCTGGCCCGGGGGGGGGTGCTCAGGGAACATCCCTCCCGAGGTTTGGACCTCCGTGAGCATCGCCAAGGACTGAGCTAACACCTTTAGGTGCTGGGGTGTGAGGAGCCAGGCGCTGTGCGAGCCACAGCAAGCTCCTGAGGAAGGAAGAAGGATGCGAGAAGCCCGGCCGGACGCACCGCCCGCTGGCATCGCCTTTGCCCAGCCAAAAAGCAGCATTTTTTTGGGGGGGGGGGGGGGGGGAGGCAGGACAAAGTGATGCAGCTTCATCAGCCACGTTTTGGGGAGAGGTGGGCTGGGCGGCGCAGGCACTGGGTGGGAGCTCACGGGGAGGCAGGAGCTGGTGTTTGTGGGTGATAAACCCTCAGCCGACTGGGAAATCCCAGCGGGGGTTTAGTGTTTTTGTTTTTTTTTTTTTTTTTATTTGTGGGCTCTCCGGTGCCTGCCAGGAGCAGAGGAAGCCGCCTTCTCAGGAATCTATTAAACAACATCCCTCGTCCCTGGTAGGGTTTGACCCACACGAGTTTCAAAGTGCTGCTGAGTGGCATCCAATTACCCAACAAGCGGGAAACGTTATAATTAAACACGGTGCAAAGGAGGGGGGAGCCACCTCGCCCCGAGTGAGGGGCTCGCCCTCAAGCCTGCCAGGTCTGGCTGGATGCTCAGGGACCCGGCCGGGGACTCCGGAGGGAGCAGAATTTTAAAAAACATATTGTCTCTGCTAATGAAAGCAAAGAATTTAATATCCGGTCTGTCGGATTCGACATCCCAGCTGAAAGAGGCTTCATTTGGCGGCATTAAATAAGGGAGGGCTCCAGCAGGCAGAGGATTAGGAGGCACGGAGCTGGAGCTGGCCACCGTTTTCATAATTTCAGTGCCGTTTCCCTGCCTTGAGCGACCTTGAGAAGTCACTTTGCTTCGCAGGGCTGCGCTCCCTGAGCGGCAGGAGCCAGCCCAGCGAAACCGGCGCGATGGATGCTCCATCCTACGAAGGGGGTGCCACTGTTTTCTTGCCGTGGGGGGAAACTGAGGCAAGGTGTGGTGGCAAGCGGGGACGCAGTTCAGCCACATCGATCCAGGAGGGGCCGGCGAGGTTTGGGCACGGGGACCCGGGGGTGGGCACCCCGCCTGCTCACAGCCGCGCACGTGGACATTTCTGGTCTCTTTTTTTCCATGTATTTCCCTCTCCCCTCCCCTGCTGCCTCTGCATTTATAATCCCCATTAATGTTGGTAATGGAGTTAACTTTTGTTAACTTTCATTAGCGCGCTCGTGCTTACCCAGCGATGGCAATGTGAGGAAGACAAGCTAACGAGCGCCCCGCCGCCCGCTAATTAACGGCACCGGATCGCACCGAGGCCGAGCCGCCGCGCCAACTTTAATAAAGGTCGCGTTAATGACCGGCCGTGATGCAAGAACTGGAAATGAAGGCGCTTTATGGACGGGGTGGCTCGGCTCGCGTGGGGGCTCGGTGCCCTCTGACGGCCCGTGGGCTCATTGCAGCCCCCCCCCCCCCCCCAAATCCACGGGGCGCAGCCAAATCCGCAGCATCCTGCCAGCGCCGGGGAAAGCGGGGTCCCCACGGGGCTCGAGGAGCATCCCAGTGCCTGGACCACGCCGATCATCATTGCAAGAGGCGTCATAAAATGGCTTCAAATAGCCCATCAAACTCAATTTTCTAAATTTAGGGAGGTTTGGCCACCGGTGGGACTGTCCCCTTGGCTCTCGCTCACTCCAGATCCGACCCTGACCGCCTGGGTCACCCACACCAAAAACCAGCCAAGTCCAAGAAGTGGTTTCTCCTTTCCTTTCTGACCCAGGACCTATGAAACCTTTCTGATGGGTTTTATACAGCCACGTGCATCCCCACCCCACGCCTCTGCAGCGATGCTTTAGGGGATTTCAGGTGGCGAAGAGAAAAAAAAAAACAAACAAAAAAACAACAACAACAACAAAAAAAAAACACCCCAACCCCTTCACGTACCATTTTAGCCGTGCTGAATTTAATCCTTGGTGACACTTGTATTTACCCTGCTAAATCAATGGCTGTTACAGGCTTTTTTTTTCCTAGGAAAACTCAGGTACTTTAATTTATTGCATTTAATAGCCATATCAAAGGCTTTCTGGAGATGAACAGAAAGTGCTGCAGGGTGAATTTCCACAACCACTTACCATTTTAAAGAGGAGACGAGGAGTTGGGTAATAAAAGGGGATTTTTTTCAGGCTGATTTGGGGGCTGTGATCAGGGCGGCTGCGATCCCAGCGCCAGGGCAGAGAAACGGGGCTGGAGGCGCATGATCAATACGGGAGAAGATAAAAAAAAAAAAAAAAAAAAAAAGCAGCCGAGAAATTGGTTGATAATTATTCTGCTTCTGCACAACCCCACCTTGCTGAAGGAAGGGTAATTAAAGCCGTGGTCTAATTAATGTGTATCTTGCCACCCCCACCCCCCCACCCCCCCCCGGTCCCTGATCAGAGTTGGCCTTCAAAGGAAAACTAATGAGGGGGAGAGCGATGGGTGAAGGCAGCAGCCCGTCCATCCCTTCCTGACCCACTGGGACAGCCCCAGTCCCAGCCACCCTGGCAGGGCCGGCGTGGGTAAAGCCTCCAGGATTCAAATCTTTTGAGAAGAGCCAGCATCAAGGCCGGGGGGGGGGGGGATAAAATTAAGGCTTTCACATTAATTACAGCATCGTGGCAATGCCAGAACCTAGCTGGGATTTTGAGATGTTAGAGGTCAAGTTCAGCTTAGGAGGAAAGAATGAAAAGAAAGAAGGGAAAAAGGAAGAAAAATGGAGCTTTTTGGGTGGGTTGGCTTGGGCAGGTGGGGCGCAGCCCCAACATGAGCCACAGTAGATGGAAATAATTCCCATTCCCCCACTAAAAAGCCCAGCTTTTTTAGTCCTAAACAGCGTGAAAATCATCTTTTAACCCAGGGACTCCTGTGGCTTTTGGGCAGCTCTCCGACACTGGTTGTCCCTTGGCAAGTACTTTGACCCAGGATCCCCGGGGTGGGGGGGACAGGTGGGGGACAGCGGGTGCTTGGGGACGCTGCCACCTCCCCACCTCCTTTCCTAGATGGACCGGGGGGAGTTTCAGCAGGACTCGGTGCTGAAGCAGCTCGAGGTGCTCAAGGAGGAGGAGAAGGAGTTTCAAAACCTGAAGGTGAGCCAGACCCTGGGGACGTGGCCCCCAAACCAGCCCCCCAGACCCCATCCCCATGGGTGGATGTGGCTCAAACCTCCCCCCCCCCCAGGTCACTCCTCCAAGCAGGGCTGCAGCCCGTGGCGGTTGCACCCCAGGGTGCCCTCGCCCAGCATCGCTTCTCCCAGGTTTTCCATCCTTGTGCCACGTCCCCTGGTGTCACCAAGGGTGGGATGTACCCCAGGGCCGTCCCCGTGCACGGAGGGATGCTCTGGTACCCCATGAGTGCTGGTTTTTGGTCCCACCACACTTCGGGGGATTTAAAAAAAAAAAAAAAAGGGGGGGGGGGGCGGGCAGAGGGCACCCACACCTCCAATTCGGGGGTGCCCCGATGCTGTGGGTGGTTGAGGGTGTCCAGCTGGGTGTCCCAGGTGGGTGCCCCGATGCTGCGGGTGGTTGAGGGTGTCCAGCTGGGTGTCCCAAGTGGGTGCCCCGATGCTGTGGGTGGTTGAGGGTGTCCAGCTGGGTGTCCCAGGTGGGTGCCCCGACTGCCAGGGCACCGGGGGAGGGAAGCACCACCCAGCTGCCCCTTCCCCACCCCGCAGGACCCCACCAACGGCTACTACAGCGTGAACACCTTCAAGGAGCACCACTCCACCCCCACCATCTCGCTGTCGGGCTGCCCGGCGGACCTGCGCCCCGCCGGCAAGCAGCGGGTGCCCACGGGCATGTCCTTCACCAACATCTACAGCACCTTGAGCGGGCAGAGCCGCCTCTACGACTACAGCCAGCGCTTCGTGCTGGGCATGGGCAGCAGCTCCATCGAGCTCTGCGAGCGCGAGTTCCAGCGCGGCTCCATGAGCGACAGCAGCTCCTTCCTCGACACCCAGTGCGACAGCAGCATCAGCAGCAGCGGCAAGCAGGACGGCTACGTGCAGTTCGACAAGGCCAGCAAGGCTTCCGCCTCCTCCTCCCACCATTCCCAATCCTCTTCCCAAAACTCGGACCCCAGCCGGCCCCTCCAGAGGCGGATGCAGACGCACGTTTGAACGCCCCCCCCCCCCCCACCCTCCGGGGACGCTCGGGACCCTCCGTGCTAGGACAGGCGCGCCCGCTGGGAGCGGCGGTGGGGAGAAGCCAGATCCAGCCCCCACACCCCCCCAAAAAAAAAACAAAAAAAAACAAAAAAAAAACCCACAGGGATGGGGGAACCGGCCGAGCATCACCCCCACCCCGCTACACGCTAAGCACAACCCCATCAAGGACGCGCCAAGCCCCGGGGACCCCCCACCCCGGCCTGACCACAGACCCCCAACAAACCCCCCCCCCCCAACCGCAGCCGCTCGCCTCCGCTTCCCTCCCCAGCCCCATCCCTTCCTTCTTGGTGTTCGGTGTCCATACTTCTAGAGTCCATTTTTGGGGGTCCCGCTGCGTGGGACAGGACTGGGCAGGGGACACACACACAGAGCGGTGGGATAGGGGGGGACACCCCCCACCCCCCCGGGGCAGGGCCTCTCCGCGCTGTATCGGGGGAGCGCAGCGCTGCGGTCAATACAAGAGGTGTTTCTCGTGGCACGCCGTGGCCTCAGCCCGGGGAGGGAAGGGGTCTGCACCTCGGGGACGTGGGCCCCTGGCCTAAAAGGGAAACTGAGGCATGGGGCAGGTGGGGGCCTGCAATTCCCACACCCCCCCCTCAGCACAGGAGATGGGGCGTCACGCCGGGAAGACAGCAGGTAAGGGCCAGCTGTGGGGACTCACACTGCCCCCCCCCAGCCTCACCAGGACCTTTATTGGGGCCATCAAGAGCCCCCCACCCCACCCCACCCATGGGTTCCAGAGCCCCCCAGGGAAGGGGGGGGCAAAGGGGACCTTGTGCCAGGGCATGGGGACACCTCCACACCCCGCCCCCCGCAAGCCAAACCCCAGTCCTGCCCAAGGCAATCACACCCACATCCCCCCCACCCAGGCCACTCATCGCCAACACTAGCAGCACCTGGGGGAGGCTCCATGATAAATAAGCATTTAAATTAATTAAATTAAAGCGCCCCAGCAGACCCCGAGGTTGGGCACCCCCAGGGGAAGGGGGGGGGGGGGGCGCTGCAGGGACAAGCCCCCACACCAGCGCTAAGGCACAGGACGGGGCCACCAAGTAAAAAGAAAATTAATTTAAAAAAAGAGGGAGGGGGGCAGAATTAAATATTTGGGGGAGGGGAACCAGGGCAGGGAGGAGGCTTCTGCTCCCTGGAGAGGGGGTGTCCTGGAACCTCCCAAAAATCAGCCCTTCCATGGGGCCCTCGTCCAAATATGAGGGAATTAAAGGGAAAGATAAAGCCCAGGGCAAGGGCTCCTGCCCTCCCCCCCCCCCCAGCCCCCCCAGGCCTGCTGGGAGGGAAGACCCCACCCCAAAAATCCCCCCACCAGGTCCTCGGTAGCTTCAGTGCGTCGGTAGGAAAAGGCAGCAGCTGCCCCGGGGGCTCCCTGCGCCCCCCCCCCCCCCCCAAGAGCCACCCCCCCCCCCCAACCCCGGGGACCCCGCGGTCCAGCGCGGCCGCCCCCAGCCCCGACCCTGCTCGCTCCAAGAGTCCCAGGGCGAGGTGGGGGTGGTGCTCTGTCCTCGCCCGGCTCTGTGAGACCCCCGGCCCCCCCCCAAAACTCCACAGCAAGGAGTGGGGAGGGGGGGGACACACACACACACGCTGTCTCTGCGCAGCCCCGGTGTCCTCAGAAGTAGGTGAGGTTCTTGACGAGACCCAGCTCCAGCATCCGCTTGATGGCCACCGCCTCGTGAGAGACATTGTGCTCCGACGCCTGCGGGATGGGGAGAAGGGGGTGACACCAGAGCCTGGCCGGGGTTGGGGTGGGGGGGTCCTCAAAAAGAGGGACGTGACCCTGCCCAAGCCCCCCTGGCCGTGAGCCCTTCCCACTCGCACATAAACCAGACCCAACCCTCCATCGTGACTAAAGACGTTGGGCTACGGGGAGAAGTTGGACGATGACCATCCAAAGGTGGACCTCAACGCCCAGTGTGTTTCCCTGGGGGAAAATGGGGGTTACAGGGACAAAAAGTGGGGGTAGATAGTTACCGCCATGGACTTGAGCGTGATCTGCTCGTAGTAGTGAATGGTCTGCTTCTTGTTGGCCGAATCGGGGTAGCCAAAGCCCGCGATGTGCACCAGGTCGCAGAAGTGCAGCGCCAAGGTGATGGCCAACAACCCCGTGGTGGGTTTCTGGAGGGAGAGGGTGGAGGAGAAGACATACGAAGAGCCGTGGCCCTCAGTGAGCTGCACAGGGCCAGCGAGGGGGGACCGCCGGGGAGGCCATCACCTCTCGGGAGTCGGGGGGGGGGTGCAGGGTGACCGGCCATCCCCACTCCTTACCTGTTTGACCTTCCGTGGTTGCTTCATGGGGAGGTTGAGCAGTTTAGCAGCAGTTACTTCCATGTAATAAGGGTTGAGGATGCGCACTCGCTCGGGGTTGGCATCCCAGATCAACGGGGGCTGTTTCCAAAACCCTTTCCGAACCTGCAAGAAGATAAAAGATGTCCAGGGGTTTCCCAGTAAGAGAGGTAGGTCCTCCAAAGGTGGGGTGGGATGAGGGTTGGACCCCGGAGCAGTCGGGGAGGGGTTGGACCCAGTTCCCCACCACGCTTACCCTCTTCTTGTCGTTGAGGATGGCCTCCATCCACTGGAAGTCCATGGGCTTGAAGGGCACCAGCACCAGCAACGTGTCGGGGTTGTTCTCGGTCCTGGGGTTAAAGTGGGCCGACTCCGGGTAGAAGAGGCGCATGGTGGTCTTGGAGCCCACGTCCTGCTCATAACCGTGGACCGGGGCGTTGTTCAACCTTGGGAGGGGGGTGGACGTGGGGACATGACTGGTGTCAACCCCATCTACAAGGTAGCGCTGGGGAGGGGTCAACAGGACGGACCCGGGGCCGTACCTGATCACGACGTCGTACGTGTCGATGGTCTCCCCCATGGAGCTGTTGCGGAGCCGGTGGCCGTTGCCCACCACCGCGCACCTCCGGCACTTCAGGCTGCAAGAGAAAAGCCCCATCTCAACCAGACCTGCTCAGAACCCAGGTGGGTTTAACCCCCTCAACCGGGGGGGGGGGGGGGCGGGTTTAACCCTGCACTGTCCATTCCACAAAGCTTCCCACGCCCCACCCACCATTCCTGGTTTTGCAGAGGTTCATTCTGCCAAATCTTGGGCTGCCAATGTGCAAATTTCCCCCTTCTAAGAGAGAAGGATGAAGGAAAAGACAGAAGAGCCCCCAAACCCACCCCGGCGTTACCTCTGGATGCTCTCAGGCAGCGAGTAGTGGGTGATCGACAGCAAGCGCAGGAGGACGTCTTCTGCAAAGCAAGGGCGAGGGGAAGGTGAGCAAGGCACCTCCTGCCTGCTACAACATCCTGGGTGCTGCCCCATCCCTGCCAGATCTCCTCCAACCATTAATCCCAGTTCCCCCAAGATGTGGGCAGATAATCCTTGGCTGGGGCTTAGTAAAGCCTGGCCCACCTTAAACACTTTTATAGGGACCACACGCACCCAGGGCAAGTAGATACATGCCACAAAGTGTAAAAATCAAGCAAACGACTTGTTAGGGAGGAGAAAAAAAAAGAAAATAGTTGTGTTGTGTTCCGTTCCCCCCCCCCCCCAAAAAAAAAATATCAAGCCACAGATGTTTTTAATAAAAGGGAAACTGTGGAACAGCAGCAGGACAGACGGATGGAGAGAAACCCACAGCGAGCGCTTACCGCTTCCCTTCGTGCCGTAGGGCAGCTCGTAGAGCGACGGTGTTTTCACCCAAAAATAGTCCTTCAGCTGCAAGAAGAGCGGGTGGTCCCTCGTGTAGCTGCCGAGGAGCAAAGGGCCGGTGAGACGGGGATGGGGGGGATGGCACTGTGTGTGGGGGTGGGCCTGGCTCTGGGTACCCCCCCCTCCTTGCTCCCAACCCCGATACTCACTTCCCGATGAGCTGCGCCGCTTTCTTTTCCACCTCACCAAGGGGACACGTCGTCTTGTTTTCTTGCACGGGGAAATAAAAGCTGTAAGGGAAGAGGTTAAAAAAAAAAAAAAAAAAAAAAAAATTATGCCTGCTCCTTTGCATCCCCCTCCTGGCAAAGGGAGGCTCTGGCACCACCTCAGCAGGACTCAAGCCGTGCTAGCCGGGGATATCGCTGGCCAGATTTAAGGTCAGCTCTGCTTTGGGTATTTATTTGCTGGGCTTGCAGCCTTGCATCAGAAGAGGTCTCTCTTGCACTGCTCACAGACCTCCTGCTCTCTGGTTTCCGCATCTCCGTCAGCATTGCCGGGACTGGGAAAAGAACAGGGTTTTCCCTTTCCCCCAGGCTCAGAAAAACACCAGCATTTGTCAAAAAACCCACAGAACATGACTGCCAACACACACCGAGGGGGAATTTCACATCGTGTCCCCCTTCCTCTGGCAGCAGCTGCCACCTCCCCGCTCCCCCAGGATCCAGCCAGACGATGCTCCGGCATCCCTGTGCAGGACAGGCGGGAGGATGGCACCTCCCAGGAGCGAAGGAGAGGGCAGGAGGTCCTTTAAAACGTTAATAGAAGCCACTCACAGCTGTATGTACCTGTCTTCCCGGTAGATCGAGTACCAAACCATCACCAGAAACAGCGCCAGCACCCCGAGTATCTTCCCTCCTGTGTGCCCAGAGAGCAGAGAGAAAAGAAAAACGCCATCAAGCCGGTACCCAGAGTTTAGACGATTGGATGTTGGGGACCTGCAGCCCCCCCGGGGATGCGCTGGTAGATCCAGGATTGCAGAGCCATCCCTGAATGGCACGGTTCCACCCCCCCCCAGCCCCGGGAGATGGAGCCAGGTTGGTTTTGTCCTGGGTCCAAAAGCTGCTGTGCCATTTCCTCCTGTCTGCCTCGCGTCAAAGGCTGCGCAAACACACCCCTCGTGCCAGGTGCCTCCACCCCATTTTCCCACCACACAGCCCGAAGGATCAAGGACCCCAAAACCACCCGCCCTGGTGCGACTTCGCCCACCATGCCCCGATATTCCATCGCCCAACTGAAGCCGCAGCAAAGCGGCATCCTACCCCCAAAAGCCAAATTTCCAAATGCAAATCCCCCCGGGATCCCTATCCCTGCTTGGGAAGAGGGAGACGGGCCCCCACCCCGTGGGACTCACGAGACTTGTTGATCATTTTTATCAGCAGGAGAGGCATCAGGCGAGGGCCGGAGCTCTCATCGCGGCTGCCGCTGGTCACCTGCAGTGGGAAAAGAGGGAAAAGCATCGGATGAGGTTAAAACCCAGCGGAGCCATCCCCAAAAACTCCGCCCGAGAGGCATCACCCCCCCGCCCGCCTCATCCACACCTCTGGACGAGCGAGTGCAAGGGTTCCCCGAGGGATTTGGTTCAATTTAAATTCACATTTCACTGCCCCGCAGCCTCCAGAGGTTTGATTTATACAGAGTTTATAAAAGCCAGGCAAGCAGCCGCAGTTCCTGAGGAGCCTCGACTCTGCGGGTTAAACGGCGAAATTCAAAAGGAAAAAAAGGAATTCAAGAGGGAAAAACGAGCCCCCAGTGGGGTTTCAACCAGAAAAAGCCCAAAGCGCCCAAATCGATGCCCATGGCGATGACCTGGGGGGGGAGGAAGATTTGAAACCCAGCACCTCACTGACACCAGCCACCACAGGTATGAAGCCAAACGTGCTGCCACCGCCACCGAGCCAGGCAGAAAAGAGAGGAGCAGCCGAGTGGCATCAAAGCAAAGAGCATCACGTACTTGGGGAACCTCCAACACCTTCGATTCAACCATCCCGGCCCGGGGCAAAGGGGATGTCGCAAGCTTAATGCGCGCGCAAACACCGGCCGCGGAAGCAGGGCGACTTTTTTCTTCCTCCGAAACCTCTCGCTCCTGGAACGAGGCAGCAAAGAGCCGTGGTCAGAGGCACCCCGGGACCAGCTCAACCCCCATCCCACCAAGGATGGAAAATTAGCTTACCGGGTGGGAGAAGTTTGGGGGTACATGGGAAGACTTTGCTCCCTGATAAACTGCTCCTGGAGGACGAACCCTACTCTAAGCCTGGCTCAGGGCTGGGCTTGGCTTTGCCACCCCATAACCGAGCTGCCCCCCCCCCCCCCCCCGCTCCAGACTGGCCATGTCTCGGAGGAGGAGAGGGCAAGGAGGTATTAAATGCCCAGTCAAGAGGAAAGGTGCACGCCCGGGCCGGGCCGGGTGAGGGAAATTATGGTTTCAAGGGATTAGTCACCTTGTTGGGAGGGGGGCACCCAGGCTGCACTGCACCCTGCCTAACGAAGCGCTGTTAATGAACCCAAGATTTGATGATTTGGGGGGCAAAAGATATCAAGATCGAGGAAAAATGGGACCAAAGATGGTCCCATGAGAGCTAGGCTCTTCCCTTCCTCATCCTGGGCAGGAAGGACAATTAATTAAAAAAGGAATCAAAGACAATTAAACTGCTACAAGCCACAGGATGGGATGTGAAGCAAAGAAAACTCTGTCCGTTTGACAGCAGAGGGATGGAGACGGCAACAGGGACGGGGACAAGTGAGGTGATACCCTGGGAAAGCGCCCATCTCCCCTTGAACTGCTTCTCTTCCATAAAACACCAATATCAAACCCCTTCCCAGGGAATTGTGCCCAGGCTCAGCCCCACCATCGCCTGGGGACCCCAGGAAGGGCAAGTCCAAGTTCCCCCTTATCCCCCCTCCCCAATTTATGTCCTGGCTCTCATCCTGCATTGGTATTTCTGTCTCTATGAGACCCCTCCCGGCTTGGGAAGGGAAGATTAAACCCACGACTGCGTCTTCAAAGGTCAGAGCAAGGGGGGATGAGCAGCTGGGGGGGGAGGGTCTGGCCCCTTTATTCATTATACTTGCTTAAAAAAGAAAAAAAAAATAAAATTGGGGAAAGTAAAAAGCGGCTTGTGTTTTCTTGGGGCGGGGGGGGTTCCCAGCAAAACTGGGCACAAAAGTCCCCGAGGGAAAATCTGCCACTGCAGCTGGAGGCTGGTGGTGCCCCTCAGGGGCCTGAGCACCCCCATTCATCCAGGGCTGGGGTGCTGCTGGGCATCGGGACCCAAATTTAGCACCAAAATCCACCCCCCAGCTCTCTCCTTCGGTGCCAAACCACCCAGCCGAGCTTCCCACCGAGCGTGCTTCACCCCTCCCGCTAGCTTAAGACACTGGGAAAATCCGCTCTCACCCCCGGTGTTTGCTTTTACATACCAGCTTTTTATAAATTTTTTTTTTTTTTTAAGGCTTTATGATCTTTTCCCAGGCTTGTACGCACAAGCTGGGCCTGATGCAAAACTTATCTAAAGACAAACACAGCTAATAATAATCCCTGGGGAAAACAAACGCTGTTTAGTGAAGCGTTCAGGGAATGCAGAGCAAAACAGAGCACACCCAAGCTGCCCCGAGCCCAGACCAAGGCAGAGGTGCTTTTGGAATGAATTCAAGCTCCCCCCAGCCCTTGTGCTACCAGATCTGCAGCCCAAACCAGAACAGCTGCTTAAAGAGGGAAGATCTGGGTGCCCTGAGCCATCTCCTTCTACCCCAGGGACACAGAGCTGGTGGAGGGAGCGATGCTGAAGGGTCCTGCGAGTCCCTGCAGCATCCCTGGTCCCCCACAGCACCCCCCTCACCTTAAAGATCACCCAGACCCACTCCCCTGCCCCGGGCAGGGCCCCCTTCCCCCAGCCCAGGGGGCTCCCAGCCCCGTCCAACCTGGCCTTGAACCCTTCCAGGGAGGGGGCAGCCACAGCTGCTCTTGTGCCAGCGCCTCGCCACCCTAACTGTAAAGAATTTCTTCCTTACATTTCATCTAAATGTCCCCTCTTTCAGCTTAAAACCGTTCCCTCTTGTCCTACCCCCACCCCCTGATCCAGAGTCCCCCCCCACCTCTCCTGCCCCCCCTTTAAGCCCTGGGAGGCCGCTCGAAGGGCTCCCCGGAGCCTTCTCTTCTCCAGGCTGACCCCCCCCAACTCTCTCAGCCCGGCCCCCCAGGGGAGCTGCTCCAGCCCCGCCAGCATCTCCGTGGCCTCCTCTGGCCCCACTCGAGCAGCTCCGAGCAGCTCCGTGTCCTTCTGCTGTTGGGGGCCCCCGAGCTGGCCCCGGCACTGCAGGGGGGTCTCCCCCAGAGCAGAGCAGAGGGGGGAGAAGGGATGCAGGCACACCTCGACCACCACTCCCATGGGTTCGGTCCAGGGCATCGCCTCCCCTGCCAAGCCCCAGAGCTGGGGGGGAAAGTCCCAGGTGGATTCAGCTCCCCCACGCTTGGAAGGAGCAACCAAAAAAAGCCCTTCTCTTTGATGTCTGAGCAACGCACCTCCAAAGCACCCCTGGGCTGAATATTATCGCTGCATAAATGACTTAAAAGCCCCACCACCACCCCATCTTCACAGCCAGAGCTCCCCTTCCCCAGCCCGGTGTTACAGGAAAGCTCCACCTCTGGGACGCTGCAGAGGCATCTCATGGAGAAGATCTTCAATGAGTTTCCCCCTCTCCCTCAGACCCGGAGCAGGGTTTCACCTCCCAGTTTTGCCACGTCCCAGGAAAGCCCCTGGGAGACGCCAGCAGCAACCATGGGGACTGGCCCTCCTGCGGCGTGGTTGACCTCAGAGGAGCTCATCCCTCTACTTCCATCCATCCCCAACTCCCCCCGGGGCCCCAACGGCTCTGTCCAGCTCCAACATCTCCAGATTTAAATCATGTGAATCCATAAAGCAGCAGCAGGCACAGGCCGCACTGCTCCCAGCCTGCATTTGGGGGGAAAAAAAAAAAATAAAAATATGTATTTAAAGCCATGGAGCAAGCGCAGAAGTCATGGGGGGATTTATAATCATCCCCCCCTCCCCATCCCAGCATGGGTGGACAGTGATCCCAGCCACCCACTGCCATCCCAGCAAAGCATCCGTGGACCAGCAGGCCACGCAGTAAAAGCTCTTGGTACTTTTATGTTGCCATGGTAACCCATGGCTCAGGAAAACCAAGCGCGACAGGAGGCAAGGACACCTCTCCCGTGCTCCCACCACCCCACCCCGCATGTCCGTGGGGCACGGAGCCGCCCACTGCCCTGTCCTGCTTCCCCAGGTGAGAAGGATGCTCATCAGAGCATCTCCGACAGCTCACCCCCCCAAAAAAAAAACCCATGCATTTATTGTTAACTGGAGCAGAGCTGGATTTGAAGGGATCACACCCAAAGAAGGGATTCGCTCCCAGCAGCAGGAACAGAAGGGAGACGGACAGACAGCACAGACCCCTCCGAGCCCAGCCAGGCCAGCTCCCTGGCGCCTCGCAGGGACCAGCAGGACAGATCCCACACTCCATTTTTGAGAGCAACCACCAGGATCGACCCCCCCCAAGGAAGCACTTTACACCCCTGGGATCTTCCAAGCCCCCATCCCGCGGGTTTTCTCCACGCGGTAGGGCTGGGATTGCCGGAGGAGCCTGGCAGATGCCACCTTACCCCCCACGCCGGCTCGGCCGCATCCTGCCTCGGCAAAACCATCGCGTGCCGGAGCCTGAACGCAACAACCTGGGAGGCGGCCGGGGGCAACCCTCCGGGGAAAGGATGCTGCCAACTCGAGGCACTGCCTGGGCTTGGCAGAGCATCAAAGGTAGCCAAATCCTCAGCCTGGCATCCCAAAACTTCCTCGCCCCAGCTGCTGTGAGCTCCAGGTGCTCAGAGATTTTTTTTTTTTTTTTTTTTTCCTCTCTCTAAGCTGGGAAGGAAATCGAGACCTACAGCAGGGAGAAAAACCTTGCGGGATTGCAAACCATCACAAGCCCACACAGCACCACAAAAATCAATCCTGTTCGATACCAGACATCGCCCCATCGAGGGCACAGAGAGTAAGCCCATGCCACTGATACCCACATTTATCCTATTTTAAGAACCCTGCAAGTCACTCTGAAGGAATCTTAATTGCCTTTTAATCATAGCCATAGATTTGTTTAGGTTGCAAAAGACCTTTTAAGATCATCGAGTCCAACCGTTAACCTCACACTGACAAGTCCACCACTAAACCATGTCCCCAAGCACCACATCTACAAGTCCTTTAAATACCTCCAGGGGCGGTGACTCAACCACTTCCCTGTGCAGCCTGTTCCAGTGCCATGGGATCCTTTTGGTGACAAATTTTTTCCTAATATCCCATCAAAACCTCCCCTGGTGCAACTCGAGGCCCTTTCCTCTTGTCCGATTGCTTTTTACTTGAGAGAAGAGATGGGCCCCCACGTTGCTACAACACCCTTTTGGGTAGTTGTAGAGAGTCTCCCCTCAGCCTCCTTTTCTCCAGGTCGAGCAACCCCAGTTCCCTCAGCCACTCCTCACAGGACTTGGTCTTCACCAGCTCCATTGCTCTTCTCTGGACACGTTCCAGCACCTCAAAGTCTTTCCTGTAGTGAGGGTGCCCAAAACTGAACCCAGTATTTGAGGTGCAGCCTCACCAGGTCCTTTTCTGCCAAGCAGCTTTCCAGCTGCTCTTCCCCAAGCCTGTAGCGTTGCAGGGGGTGGTTGTGACCCAAGTGCAGGACCCGGTGCTGAGCCTTGTTGAACCTCATACTCATCATGATCCTCAGCCCATCGATCCAGCCTGTCCAGATCCCGCTGTAGAACCTTCCTGCCCTCCAGGAGATCGACACTCTTGCCCAACTTGGTGTTGCCTGTGAACTTACTGAGGGTGCAACTCAATCCCCTCATCCAGACCATTGATAAAGATATTATTCCCTGAGGAACGCCACTTGTGACCAGTCACCAACTGGATGTAACTCCATTCACCACCACTCTTCGGGCCCAGCCATCCAGCCCATTTTTGACCCAGTGAAGAGTACGCCCATCCAAACCATGAGCAGCCAGTTTCCCCAGGAGGATGCTGTGGGAAATGGTGTCAAAGGCTTTACTAAAGTCTAGGTAAACAACATCCACAGCCTTTCCCTCAACCACTAAGCGGGTCACCTTATCACACAAGGAGATCAGGTTAGTCAAGGAGGACCTGCCTTTCGCAAACCCATGCTGACTGAGCCCGATGACCTGGTTGTCCTGTACGTGCCATGTGATGACACTCAGGACGAGCTGCTCCATCACCTTCCCCGGCAGAGAGGTCAGGCTGACAGGCCTGTAGGTCCCTGGTTCCTCCTTCCAGCCTTTCTTGTAGATGGGCATCATATTTTCTAACCCCCCAGTCACCTGGGACCTCCTCGGTTAGCAGGGACTGCTGATAAACAATTGGAAGTGGCTTGGTGACCACTTCCATCAGCTCCCTCATCACCCTTGGGTGGATCCCATCAGGCCCCATTGACTTGTGTGTGTCCAAGGGGTGTAGCAGGTCACTAACCATTTCCCCTTGGATTATGGAGGCTTCATTCTGTCCTGTCCCTTCTTCATTCCCTGTCCCTGTCTTCCAGCTCAGGGGGGTGGACACCCCGAGAATAACTGATCTTTGTAGTAAAGACTGAGGCAAAGAAGGCATTAAGTACCTCAGTCTTTTCCTCATCCTTTGTCAGTGTGTTTCCCCCCGTATCCAATAAAGGATGGAGATTCTCCTTGGCCTCCTCTTGCTCCTAATGTATTTACAGAAACTTTGCTTTATTATCTTTTACGGCAAAAGCCAGATTAAGTTCTAGTTGGGCTTTGGTCCTTCTGATTTTCTCCCCGCATAACCTCATGACATCCTTGTAGTCCTCCTGAGTTGCCTGCCCCTTCTTCCAAAGGTCATAAACTCTCCTTTTATTCCTGAGTTCCAGCCAATGCTCTCTGCTCAGCCAGGCCAATTGTCTTCCCCACCAACTAGTCTTTCGGCACATGGGGACAGCCTGCTCCTGCACTTTGAAGACTTGAAGAATCTCCAGCCTTCCTGGATTCCTCTGCCCTCCAGGACTGCCTCCCAAGGGACTCTTGCAATCAGGCCCCTAAACAGGCCAAAATCTGCCCTCTCTAAATCCAAGGTAGCAGTTCTGCTCACACCCCCCACACTTATTTCTCCGAGAATCAAGAACTCTATCATTTCGTGATTTCTGTGCCCAAGACAGACTCCAACCATCACAGCACCCACAAGTCCTTCTCTATTCACAAACAGCTCCAGTGGGCACCTTCCCTAGTCAGCTCCATCTCCCACACACTCCAGGAACCTCCTAAACTCTTTCCTCCCCACCGTATTGTATTTCCAGCAGACATCTGGTAAGTCCAAGTCCCCCACAAGAACAAGGGCTAGCAATCACGGGCTGCTTATAGAATATTTCATCCACCTCTTCATCTTGGTAGGGTGGTCTATAACAGACTCCCACCACGATACCTGCCTTGTTGGCCTTCCCCTGATTCTCACCCATAAACACGCAACCCTATCATCGCCATCATTAAACTCTAGACAAGCAAAACATTCCCAAACATACAAAGACTATGGAGAGGCAGCAGTGTTTCCTTAGCCCATGGTATCGTAGGCATACAATAACCCGGCCAAAGATTTATGATAGGGAAAAATCAACCTCGTTGGCATGTAAGCCTTAAAAAAAAAACATTTACCCGTGACGAGGGTGCAATTTTGGAGATGGCAACGGCAAATAAGCTCAGGTAGGATGAGTATTTTCACAGTGGCAGAATAAATCCAGGCTGCTCCTGCCTTTCCACAGCACTGCTGGTTTTAATGTGCTCAGGAGCTGAAACTTGATTCAGGCCAGCGCTGCTGCCATCCTTTCCTCTCTCTCTTTTTTTTTTTTTTTAATCCTTACAGCAGGAAAAGCACAGGGATAGGACCCAAATCCCTTCCTAGGCCCTGAAACACCGGCTGCATGGGTATACCTGAGCATGCTGTGCCTCTGGGGTAGCCCCAGGTCATCAGTGTAGCTACACAGCTCCTCCTCAGTACGTTAGGCTACATTATTATAGGTTATACAATATTATTTACATTATATAGGCTAATCACTCTTTTCCTAGTTAAAAAAATAAATAAAATAAAGACCCTTTCTTGCCAGATGTGGCTTGCTACAGCCTGAAGGTTACAGCAGAGCTGCTGAGCCACCCATGAGGGGACAGCCCCATGCTAACGTGACAAGGGTGGGCACCCATCGATGACAATTTTATACCCGTGGGATTTCATCACCGAGCCCATGGCATCGATCCAGCCACCCCCTCCTCCTACCCACCCCAGCCAGTCCCCATTTGCTGCCACCCGTCACCTCGTTGCTATGTTTACTCACCAGCATCTCCACCCTCGGGGACCGCCCAGGGATGCAGGCGGCAATGGCAAGAGTGGCTTTGGCAATGTGGCTTTGCACCCACACTTCAGTCCAACCCCAAAAAAAGCAGCAGAAAGGGGAAGGCAGCAAGTTGGGGGTGCAGGCAGGGTGAAGGCAGCCTTTTCCTGCTGCCTGCTCACCCTGGAGCAGCAGGCAAAGCATCCACAGGGAGCACCCACTCCCTTATACAGGGATGTGAATGGTCCAGGGAGATAAAAAAAAAAACCTAAACCATCGAGATGCCCCAGCCCATCTCCAAGCCAAACTCAAGCAACGCCCAGACTCAATCTCAGCTCACCGGAGAAAAGGGCTGGAAAATTAAAGGATCTCAAGCCCCAGGGCTGAGTTATCCCACAGGCAGCTACTGTCCCCAGTGACTTTTGAGCACGGGGGTCCCCTTTTGGGTGCTCAAAAGCGACCTGCTGTCACCGTCCCCTTTGCAAGGCTCCAAGTGCCACCTTAACCGCCTCCCCCGCTGCAGCAGCCTTGTGGTTTCCCCACCGTTTCCTCCACGACTCCTGTTTTGCGCTAGTGAACAGGCTGGTTTTGGGGCAACATAACCCCACCCTTGAGAAAAAGTCCTCCAGCCTCAAAACCTGAAGGGTAAAGCAACTGGATGGATTTACGCCCCCCTCCTCCCCTACACCAGCATGCTCACTCTGTCTCCTCTGCTCTTTTCATCCACGTTAATGGCTTCAGGGGAAAATGGCCTGAAAACAACCTGCTCCATCACTTTGTGCCCCCAGCATCACCTTGATACTCTGTTACCCCCATCAGACACGCTGGGAGGAGGATGCTCGTCTCGGCAAAACCACTCCAGCACCCCCAGCAGCAGGAGAGGCTGAATCTGGTCCCCCATCAGGGTGGCAATAAGCTGGCAGGAGGTCATGGCTACTTACGGTCCGTCCTCTTGGTCCAGGCAGAGCGGGCAGGAGCTCGGCGGGATCTACGAGGCCATCCTCTCTTCCCCTAGCAAAGGGAAAAGGGAGAACATCCTCAGGCGACGGCAACCCCCACCGGCAGTGCACAAGGGATGCTTTGCTTGGTAGCCATCGCACCTCCGGAGGATCCAGTGGAGCCCCACATGATCCCCACGCCCAGGGGAGCTCTGAGCACCGGTGGGGAACCGGCCCCAGGGGACTAACAGAAGGACCCCAGCAAGCCATTCTGTGTGGCAGAGGATGTCTGTGCTCTCTGCGAGGCCGCCCACCACCTCCGGCGCCAGCAGCACCTGGGACCGGGCGTCCAGCTGCTTTTAAGGAGGAGCAGTTCAGAGCCCAGACCTCGCCGCAGGCTTCCCCCACACCTCTTAACCTTTCCCACCAAAACCCCCTTCCATGACTCACTCGGATTTTTAGGAAGCGGGTGATGCCCTTTCCCAGGGAAAGAGGGAGCCAGCCCTGCTCACCCTAGGATGCTCCGTAGCTCTCCTGCCTTCCCACACGGAGGATGCTCCTTAATCCCCTATCTCTTCCCCCAAAACTTTCCAAACTATGCATCCTCACCCAGTGCTGTAATATCCTTACGATTTGGGGAAGGAAAAACCCCTGCCAAGAAGCTGCCGCACCAGCAGCCCTTCTGCCATGCTGCCTCTCAAAGAAAAGCCTCTCTGCAGGAACAGCTGCTCTGCATCCAGCTTAATTACCCCAACTAATGAGCTGCAAGGTGGGGTGAAGCGAGCCCACTGCTATTTCAGTGAGCAGTCGGGAGCCAGCTTTGTTTTTCCCCACCCTATGCTGGGGGGGATGGTGGGAGGCAGGGCCTTCCCTCCCCCCCCCCCCCAAAAAAAATAAAACACATGCAAGGAACAATCTCAGTTCGGTACAAGGAAGGGTGATGCAGATGGGGCCCAGTAAAGCTCTCTCCACAGCTGCTGCTCAAGCCCTGGCAGAGAAGATGCTTCCAAGAGGAAACCCTGAGGGACAGGAGGTTTCCTTACCTCTCTCCATCTCCTCCGGCTACGAAAAGCAAAAATGAGAGATGCTGGGGGCCACCAAGCTGGTGCAAGCCTTCCCCAAGGCATGCTTTGCTCTTAACGTGCCCTTAATGTTAACAAAGAGGGTATGTCCCCATGCAAGGGATGAGTATGGAAACCACCAAGCATCTCCACGATGGTTTCTCCCCAGGGAGGCTGGGTACTTTTCCCTAGGGACTAGGCTTTCTGTAGGTGCCCAGGGAGGGCTCCATCCCAGTGCCGCACCTTCCCTCTCCAGCCAAAGCAGCTCTGCTTTCTTCTACCTCCACCATTTACTGAGGGGACGAATTAAACCAGAGGGCTTGGGGCAATCAACAGCCAAATGAGATGCACTTGGGGCCACCTTGCCAGTGCCCAAAAAATTCACCTTCCAGCACCAAGGTCTTTCTAGAAGTCCTGAATCCACCGGAGCATCGAACATTGCTGCTGACAAGGAGCCTTTTTATTTAGAGCCATGAATTATAGGATCCTCTAACGAGGTTAAACTCTCTCCGGGGAGCTCGTGCTAAAGCATTTCACGGCCCAGAGTCAGCCCCTGCCTGTACAGATGATGAGGACGCTCAGATCTGCCCGGGGGTGGGCAGGGGGATGCCTCCTTCCCCGCAGCATCCTCCTGGGAGGATGCTGCAGCCCTGTGATCCCTTAAAGCACATCGGCCTGCCGGGGAGGATCCGAGGTCTTGCCCGAAGCCGGTCTTTCCAGCCTGACTGGGAGAGCCGGGGGCAGGATGGCTGCAGGTCTCCCCAGGTTTGTTTTCCAGCTTCCCGAGCAGTGCCCCCACTATCCAGCCCAAGGTCCAGAAAAAAAAAAAAAACTATCGCAGTTCAGGCATCCACCAGGTCGAGAGCTGCCGTCTTTCGCCACAAGCAGCTCAACCTGATCCTGCCAGGAAATGAACGTCCCATATCCCAGCGCCCTCAAAAAAATCTCAAACAAGCTGAATTTTGCTCCTTTTCTTCCTTATGCTCCCAGCTATGCTGCCTGCTTCAGTTTCCCCTCCCGCGGCATTTAGATAATGATTTCCAAATTTGAGAGGGGGAAAAACACACCTTGTGCTCACTCCCCGACGTCTCCCTTCTGGGCTTCAGGTGGAAGAAAACTAAAACCCATCCCTTCCCCTATTAAAGATTAAAGCCAGCCAGGATCAGTCCTTTGAGGGGCTCAGCCCCGGTGCAGGAGCATCCCTGGAGGGGGGGCACAGGCATCTTCAGGTCTTACACAGGCAAAAGAAGATACGCCCGGGGCAGGGACGAGCCACTGAATCCCTCCCTTCCACCATCCTCCCCATCGAGGAGCGGATCCCCCCTCCCAGGAGCTGTTCAAAAAGAAGGGGAGATGGAGACGACGTTTCTCCTCCTTCCACCAGTCAGACCTGAAGCAAGGCAGCCGTCCATCCAGCCCTCCGTCGGCGCTCCATCGCAGGCGCCGGTCTCCCTGGGTTAAAATTACCTCCCAAGGGGGGAGAGAGCAAAAGCTGGGCTGGGAGGGGAATAAAATCCAGGTGAGCTCATCCTCCTCCTCCTCCTCCTCCTCCTCTGGAGAAAACGTCTCTACTTGGCATGAGCGAGGTGTTTCCGAGCCCGGCACATCCCTCACGTCACCCCAGTTGCTATCACCCCAGAACCAGGAGCTTATTCATTGGGCAGGTATTTAGCAGGAGATAATCCAGCCGCTTCCCGACCATCCTCTGGCCAAGCCAAAGGCGTAATTCCGGTGTGGGATGTGAATTTGCAGTAGAGGTTTCCCTGCTGATCCTCACCCCAGCATCCCAGAAGATGTTTCCTGGCCAGGAGAACACGGAAGAGCCACCACCAGCAAAACCCCTATCCTCCACTCCGACTTGGTTTTAATTATATTAATAATTGATTAAAGTTACTAAAATATTTTATTTAAAATAACATAATTTCATAAACCTATTTCTATTAAATCCTCAAGAATGGGAAGAAAAGCAAAGCTGCCCAGCCAAGCTGGATTATCTGAAGCAGCAACTGACCTAAAAATAAATGACCGCTATTTAAGGACAAGACTCCCACGATAAACACACACACACACCCCCAAAAAAAATAAAAGGAAAAAAATACACATGAGAAATCGCCACTGTTTCCAAGATGGGGTGTATAGTATCACCCACCAGACCAGAAAAAGATTAATTTGGGTTTATTTCTCAGCAAAACTCTGTGCTTCCAAGAAAAGAGCATCCCCAGGCTTAAAGCTGCTGATTTACAGACACCCCATGCATTTAGGCAAGCCAGGCAAATAAATAATTAAGATTTAAATATGCGTTTGCATAATACATATAATCTGACAATTTAACTTGTAAATGCGGTCGGAATTAAGCAGCGACTTTGTTAATTAGGTAGCAAAGGGGCCTGGGAAGCCCCAGCTCCGCGACAGATGCATAAGGATGCTAAAGGATGCAAAAGCCAAATTTGCTGGGGGACGCAGGGGCTTGGCAGCAGGACCAAGCGTTGGGGTGGGTTTTATCCTCCCCTCCTCCTAACGCAGTGCCAGGGCACCAAATCCACGTGCTCACCCATATTTTTATCGCAAAAGCCCTTCACCAGGAGCCGCCTGTACCCCCTGCACCAGCCAGCACCAAAAGCTGCCATCACCCCACGATAAAGGGAGCAGAAAAAGAGCCGGGGGTAATATTTTCGAGAACACATTGCGTATTTTTTGTTGCGTAAACAGCATGCTTTGAGAGCCAGGCTCTTGGAAAGCCAGGCTCTTGGCCACCCTCAGCTCTCCCCACCCCAAATACCGGAGCTCGCTACCCAGACCCCGCCTGGGAGGGAAACCTGTTGAGCCCGTGTGTGCACGAACAGACAGTTCTTTGTGATTTTTTTTTTTTTTTTTTTTAATTTCTATTTTTTGTTCCAAAGCAGCGCTGGTTATCATACAGGGATGGGCCCAAGGACTTCCCAGCCCTTGGCCTGGTTCCTGAGCCTTGTTCTCCGCGTTAACACCCTTGTTCTCTGCTCTAACCCCGTGCCAGGAAGGCAGCATCGCATTTAACCCCTAAAGCCCTTTGCTCCCCTTAATTTCTGACATCAGCCCCGCATCACACATCCTGGTCCTCTTTCAGTCCTGCAACCCTCCCCAATCCACTTGCAACCCCTCTCTCTGCATTATTCCCCCTTATTTCTCACTTTCCGCCCCATTTTTCTCCCCAGCACCCCTGCGCTCTCCTCCATCCCCAACCCAGGCGGGTCCAGATCCATCCTCGCGCCATAAAACAAACCCCACGCCAGGGGGGACGGGCGGGTCCAATGGCCACGGAGCTGCCAGGATGGGATTTTAATACCTAGACAGGGGTGTTTTATTTTCCACCGTGGGGATGCTCGGCTGGCAGCGTGCACACAGCACCAGCAAAGCCCCGCAGCACCAGCAAAGCCCCACAGCACCAGCAAAGCCCCACAGCAGCAAGTTTGCAGGATTAAAGCATCCTCAACTCTTGCTCGGCACTTTCCTGCCTGTTTCCCCCCCGTTTTGGGGCTCAGGGAAGCTCTGCCCAGTTGGCAGCGCAGACAGGGGATGCAGCAAGGACCCCAAGCCCCAAACTCCAGCCTAGCTTATATATATATATTTTTTTTTTTTTTTTAAAAAAGGAAATTAAAAAACCACCCAATGGGACTGTCGCAAGCAGCTCAAAACCTGACACAGGATGCGGCCCGGAGCTCCGGCTTGTGCAAGCCCACAGGCGAGTTGCAACCTCTGGCCACCGGCATCACACTCTGGTTAAAAAAAAAAAAAAAAAATGAGGCTGGGCTGAGTCAGCCCAGCCGGGTATCAGGATGTCAAATCCAGCCGGGAAAACTTCAGCAAGGCTGCCGACGAGCTGGGGGAGACATTTTGCAAGGGGAAGAGCCGAAGCAGGAACAGCATCTGGAAGCGATCGGAGGCGAGGAGCCTCTCCCAGGCACAGCGGGGAATTCCAACGTCGTGAGCTCAGGTTAAAGCCTCCTTCACAGACCCAGGATTTAAAAAAAGAAATAAATAAAAATCCAAGCTTCGGCAGATATATATTTTAAAACCTGCAAATAATGGAGGAACGGAAGCCAGGTCCCCACTCAGTCCTACCTGGACAAGACTTCATGATTTAGGTTGATTTCCAATTTGCAATACAAAAAGAAAAAAACAAAACAACTCCAAAGAAGAGGAGAAATCTCTCTACAGATTCGTTGATATAACTTCACAGGTGTGGTGCTGGGAGGAGAGTCCTCCTCCGGCGCTGCGTTGTTTAAAAGAACCTTGCTTCTACTGCGATGAACCCCTGCACCATCCAGCTGGGGGGACCACTGTATCCCACCTCCGAGCATCCCTCGCCACCACAGGCTGCATCCCACAATGGTCCCTGAGTGGCAGCAGCTCAGCAAACCCAAGAGCATCCCAGCATCCTTGGGATGGCATCGAAGAGCTGCTGGGGGATCCCACCCTAGCTCAGACAGAGTGGTCCTCCACAAGGGCCCGATGCAGTGGGGAGTCCCCGAGCCCCCTCCAGCCACCCCCGAGACTGCGGGATGGGGACCAGCAGCACCCGTGGGTGGTCAAACCCACCCATACCACCCAAACCAGTGGCACAGGCAAGGCTGTCTGCCTGTGCCCTGCTGCAGCTCCCCCGTGGCCTTTCGCGCGGCCAGCATGTAAATACGCACCTTAAAACCGAAAATACTCGGCCGCACGCTAACACCCACACTGATATATATATATATATATATATAACTTGCCCATAATTGATGTAAGCCACCTGCACGGCAGCTGGTGCGCTCAAGAAGTCCCAAGCACCCCGCCAAAGCGATGCTGCCAAGCCTGCACCCCATCTCCCCTCGGGCCAGAGCGATTTACCATCGGGCAGGACCCACGGCCGGGCCGCGCGGGGCCCCGCTCCCCCCAGAATTGCAGCTTCGGCCCCACTGCTTCAGCGGCCAGCATCCCGCTGCCCACCCCGGTCGCTTCCCACCCACCTTCCCGGCGGCTCGGCGGGCAGCACCCCGCGGCGCGGCGGGGCGGCAGCAGGCGGGAGCAGCGGCCGCGGGCAGTGCCGGCACGGCAGCTCGGCGGCCTCCGGCAGACGGCGAAACACATCCTGGAGAGGAGCCGCAGCCCCCGCCAGCCCGAAACCACTCCGAGCATCCGCCAGTCCAAAGCCAAACTGGGATGGAGGGGGGCTTCTCCCTTCTCCCCGTTCCCTGCCGGCCAAAATCCCTTTCTCCTTCCTCCGAGGAAACTTTCCAGCCCAACCCCAGTCACATGCGAGGGGTCAGCAGCTGGAAATGCAAGATTACAACAGGGATGATTTTTTTTTTTTCTTTTTTTTTTTTTCTTTTCCCTCTCAAGAAGACGCAGGGTTTTCCTAGAAAAAGCTCGATAAACACGAGGATCGCAGCCAGAGGAGGGAGAAGCCACCAGTGTCCCAGCGCGAAAGGAAGGTGAGCGGAGATTAAATAGAAATACCAAAATAAGAGAAGCAAAAGTTTCAAAGGAAAGTGTCACATCATTTCCTTTCAAAACCACTCGTGCAAGTGTCCCTGACAGCTCTGTACAAGGGCCACCGGCCCCGGCCTGGGATGGGGTCCCCAGAGGGATGGGGGCAGAGCTGGGATGCCAACCTCTGCAGGAGGACTGCATCCCTGCTCCTTACACAGCCACCATGCAGAGAAAACAACCAAAAAGGGGGAAAAAAAAAAAAAAAAATTTTTTTAAAGAACACAATAGGAAAATCTCTTGGGAACAAGACTCCCACCCTGACCCAGTTCTGAAATACGACTGAAGCAGCAGGACCATCACCTTATACAAGAGAACAAGTAACAGGATGTGTGGGATTTTGAGATATCGCCAAAAAAGAACTTTTAATTAGCGGGATTCAACCTGAGAATCACTGCTGGCCAAAACCCCCTGAAGACAGGCGCATGGAGGGCCCCGGTCTCGCAGGGGCTGGGTTTGGCATTCCCATGTCCTGCAGCCTGGCACCCACCTCCCGTGCTGGTTGCAAGCGTGGGGGTGACACAAGCCATAGAAACCCAGGCCTGGAGACGTGAGTATGGTTGTTCCGGAGTTTAAAATGGACTTAAATGGGTGGGGTTTCGCTTCATGGGTGGGCTAGGGACCAGGAGGATGCTCTGGTCACCATCACAGTCCCAGCTCTGGAAGCCACGCTACTCACAGATCTCCACGGTGAACATCCCTTAAAATTAGTGTCAACAGACAGTTTCTCCTCTTGTATTTACATTTCCAGAGCCCTTAGCCCCTCTCCTTGTGGGATTCGGCGCCTTGCTGTAGCAGTTGCTATTAAATCACTGCCCAGAGCTGGAGGAGCAAGCAGCCTTCTAATGATGTGGATAATTATGCAGGGGAGTTAGGGAGAGTCCGGCAAAGCGCGTCGATCCCATCCCAGGGCTTATAATGATGGTAGGGGTTCATTAGAGGTTGGTCATGTCAGGAAGAGGAGACCTCACGCCTGCAGGACAGCCGGCACCGGGAGCTGGAGGTGGCATCTCCTGGGATCAATCCGCTCCCAAGTCCTCTGCTCGAGATCCCAGCTCCTCCCAGGCTGGGACCCGGCACGTGCTACGGGAAGCTGCGATGCCACGCAACAGGAACCCCGATGCACGCTGCAGGGTTGAAATGCAAGCTGACTGCAGTCCCCAGCCGCGGCACACCCCCCGGCACGGCTGGTCCCTCACCCCAAACCTCCAAAGAGCAGTGACCAGCATGGAACAACCGTCCCCCGGCCCCCCCCCCCCAGCCTGCTCCAACCCCTTCGCTAAGCAAAGGGAGAAGGTTCTCTGGGCATGTTTAAAATCATCAGCTCCGGCCCCAATCTGGGCTTCAGCCCTGCCCGGGCTGTCCGCCCCGTGTCACGGAAAGCCTCAGCGGAGGCAGCTGGCAAAGCCTGGGTGATCCCCCTGCTCCTCCGCCAGCCCTTTCATCTCCAAGAGCTGTCGGAGAAGACGAGCAAATTCAGCAGGGCTTTCCCAAAAGCTCCCCTGCAAGACTTTAATTAGCTCATCTCCCTACGAGACAGAGCCCGGAGTCGCCGAGCAGCCCCCGGCACCGACCCACCGGGCATCGGGACCGCAAGGACGTCGCTCTATTAACCCAAGGGGGAAAGACTCATCCCATGCCCGCTGTCCAAGCCGAGGAGCGCAAAAAAGCCCCCGGAGGAAGCTTCTCCTTTGTTCTCCGCTCCCCAGAACAATAAAACCCTCATCGGCTCACCCTGCGAAGGACCTGACATTGAAAATCCTTTTTCTGCTGCCTTGGGGCAAGCATCCTCATCTGCCCCCCCCCCCCGCAAGGGAACAAGCCCATCCTGTGGGAGAAGAGGGCTCTGGGTGCATGCGATGGGGTGGGACGGGATTTATTTTATCCTTATCCTGCGCTTCGGATGCCCGGATCCCGCTCCCGGCGGCTCCGGCCACACCAGGATCGGTCCTTCCCACCCCCTTTGGGATCAGCCGGCTAACGGAGCACATCCGCCAACCGCTCAGAGGATGCTCAGGGATGGGGGTGGGAAAAAAAAAAAAAAAAAAAAGAAGACCAAAAAAGCTCAGACCACTGAAGTAAATCATCCTCAACCCGCACCGCTGCGTCCTGAGCCGCGCACGGGGCACGTCCTCCCTTCCCCAGGGCCTCCGGGTGGATTTTCCCTTCTTTATGCTGGCGCCCGGGCGTTAATATCGCACGTACCCATGGGATGAAGACCCCCGCATGCTACCGGGAGGTGCCAGAAACTCTCTTGGCAGGGCTCTCGGGATGGCTTCGCCGTCAGCAGGAGGGATGCCAAAGGCCGGTTGATCCCCAGCGAGACGCCAGGGTTTGGGGTTTGGGTTTTTTGTTTTTTGTTTTTTTTTTTTTGCCGGGGATGGGGCGGCAGCAGCCGGAAAGGCATCGCAAGAGCGGGTTTTTTTTTCCTCGCGCCGCTGCCCGCACACGTTTCGCCACCTGGAAGCTCCACCGCTTATTTACAAAAATAATGATTAAAAACTCAAAAAAAAAAAAAACAAAAAAAAAACACCCAAAATAAAGCCACTTTCCCGCTTTCTCCCCGCGCATCGCGCCTGCCGGGACGTGGATGCCGAGGG